ACGTCACCTTCATTACACTGTTCTCACAACTTCACTTGGTTAATGTGAGACCCACTGACTACAGGTAGCGGTGACTCACCTTCCTGAGGTGTTGCTGGGAACACGGTGCTCCTGTGTCAGCGTTGTTGATCTCCTCCAAGATTTTCTAAAAACAAAACAAAGTTTAATATCTGACCACTTGCATATAGCTAGATTTTGTACCAAAGAGTCAGGATATATAGAGTATTTCAAACTTCGAACTACTAACAGTAAAACTGGAAAGCAAATCTGATGAATTTAATTTTTTATTTTCATTAATTCAGAGAACATAAACATTTTCCTCTCAGGCAAAACCAATAAATGACTGTCTGTTTATCAGAGTCTTTGAAAGTTCAGTCCTTGTGGTTTTAATTTCGTAGGTTGGTATATTATTTGTAAGAATTAAGGAAGAAATTGCATGTTAATATTTTGGTTGGAAATTTGTATCAACATGAAAAATAAGGCCAGCTGTGATTTCAGGTAATGCTGCAGACCATCAAGATGTGTTACAAAATCAAATACAGCACTCTATAGTTGAGTCTTTGGAGAGGTGACGAGCTGATGAACTGAGTTATTTCTCACCGGACAGAGAATGAGTAGCATCATCTGAAGGGGGCCAGACCGACACTCTCCTCTTGGACCCTCTGTCAGTGCATTTGAAGTGTTCAAACATCTTGTCACAGCACTCTGGAAATAACAGTATATATTGCATCAAATTTCAAGCCTGACCACCCTATTCCGATAGTCGCTTCTTAACGACATATCGATCATGGGCTGCTGAAGACCAATTCTAACCTAGATCTTCGTGGTGTGGTGTGGTGTGGTGTGGTGGTGGTGTGGTGTGGTGTGGTGTGGTTTGGGTTTGGGCGTGGTGTGGTGTGGCTATCTGGCAATTTGGTAATGTAGTGGTTGTTGGTTGAAGTGTGACATGGTGTGAGCGGTGGTGTGGTGTGGTGTGACATGGTGGCGTGGTGTGGTGTGGTGTGGTGTGGTGTGGTGTGGTGTGGTGTGGTGTGAAGTGTGGCAGTGGCATGGTTTGGTTTGGTGTCCCTAGCCATGGTGTGACATGGTGGTTGGTGTGGTTTAGCCTGAACCCCCATTCCAAGGCACATGAGAAGCCTGACAATCAAGGTTTCACAAGCACTCAGACAGACCTAGGAGCTGCCAGGTGACAGTCACACCCGCAATACCTCGATGTTAGGTCAATTGGTGAAGTGTGAACTAATAGTAATGGGTTGGTTCAGAGAATCAAGAGTCGAAGCTCAGCTGTTCGACCGAACTCCTATCCCGAGACATCGAGTAGCCTGTGGTTTGTGGTGGTGTGGATGTGACACTGTGCGTGACGCTTAGGGTCGCCACAAGTGTGACATGGTGCTTCATGCATGTGACCTGCATGTGGCCTGCTGTGTCGCGTGACATACCGCGTCACCTTCATTACACTGTTCTCACAACTTCACTTGGTTAATGTGAGACCCATTGACTACAGGTAGCGGTGACTCACCTTCCTGAGGTGTTGCTGGGAACCACGGTGCTCCTATGTGTCATGGCGTTGTTGATCTCCTCCAAGATTTTCTAAAAACAAAACAAAGTTTAATATCTGACCACTTGCATATAGCTAGATTTTGTACCAAAGAGTCAGGATATATAGAGTATTTCAAACTTGAACTACTAACAGTAAAACTGGAAAGCAAATCTGATGAATTTAATTTTTTATTTTCATTAATTCAGAGAACATAAACATTTTCCTCTCAGGCAAAACCAATAAATGACTGTCTGTTTATCAGAGTCTTTGAAAGTTCAGTCCTTGTGGTTTTAATTTCGTAGGTTGGTATATTATTTGTAAGAATTAAGGAAGAAATTGCATGTTAATATTTTGGTTGGAAATTTGTATCGAACATGAAAAATAAGGCCAGCTGTGATTTCAGGTACGTTGCAGACCATCAAGATGTGTTACAAAATCAAATACAGCACTCTATAGTTGAGTCTTTGGAGAGGTGACAAGCTGATGAACTGAGTTATTTCTCACCGGACAGAGAATGAGTAGCATCATCTGAAGGGGCCAGACCGACACTCTCCTCTTGGACCCCTCTGTCAGTGCATTGAAGTGTTCAAACATCTTGTCACAGCACTCTGGAAATAACAGTATATATTGCATCAAATTTCAAGCCTGACCACCCTATTCCGTTAGTCCTCTTACGACGATCATGGGCTGCTGAAGACCAATTCTAACCCAGATCTTCATGTGTACCTAATTATTGAAACTGATGCCATGGCAGACATATTTCTATATAGACAGATATCAGTCATTGATTTATCATCATTTTCAACATGTTCAGTGCTCACATAACCAAGTGAGTGAGTGAGTTTAGTTTTATGCCGCACTGAGCAATATTCCAGCTATATGGCAGCGTTCTGTAAATAATCGAATCTGGACCAGACAATCCAGTGATCAACAGCATGAGCATCGATCTGCGCAATTGGCAACCCATGACATGTGTCAACCAAGCCAGCAAGCCTGACCACCCGATCCCGTTAGTCGCCTGTTACGACAAGCATGGGTTACTGACGGCTCATTCTAACCCGGACCTTCACGGGTACATATAACCAAGAAATACTAACGTAAAATTGCCAGTAACAGATTTCACTGAGTCTTCACGAGACGTACAACATACCCTGAAGCTCATCATTGGGCCTCTTCTGGAGATCTGTGAACTCATGAGGGTAGTTGTCCATCCAGTTCCACACCGCCTGCAACACGGAGCCACAAGGTACCAAATGGAGGACGAGAACACAGGCAAGTGGAATGACCAAACGCAAAATATTCAAACCTCTGAATAACCTGCATTTTCACGTAATTTTCACAATACATGTCACCATTGCCCAATAATTTGTAAATTTAAAAAAAACAAAACAAAAACAAAAAAGTATAACGAAGGGATGCCGAGAAAGTGCGGGCAGCTTGAACCCCAAACCATCAGTTGTGGTTATGCTTGTCCTTGTGTTTCGACAGTTGTAACCCTTTTAATTTTTTATCAAACAGAAAAATCAGTATTTTTGCTTGTGTAATTTAAAAAAACAGACGATAACTGCCTTGTGATCCTCCCCAAAATCTGACCATGACATGGATTATCTCCCTTGAGATATTAACACGCCACTATTGTCCTGTCGACTACTCACCTTCTCCAGGTTCTGGCCCAGCGTGATGAGTACCTGCCTTGACTTGAGAGACTTGAACTTTGACACAACTTCTGTAACAAACAGCAACAATAACAGCCAACAGCAACAATAACAGCCAACAGCAACAATAACAGCCAACAACAACAATAACAGCCAGCCAACAGCAACAATAACAGCCAACAGCAAGAGCACTGACAAAGTGGAATGGCTACCCTTGTTTTCAGGATACATATAGAGTATCGGCAGTGTCAGTGAATTTTATCACTGAGAACACACAGCATCACCATTCTATGAAGATCTACTGAATCCTCACTCTTCCTTATGTTCTCCCCTAAAACTCACTTTCCACACTCCATTATCCTCCCTCCATGTTGATTCTGATTTAGAATAGGTCGTTTCCAAACATGTCTGTTCGTACAGACTTAATCGGCAATGTGTTTGTCCCTGCTGACTGCCATTCATCATTCACCAACATTATGGATTGTCATTATGTCAATCCCTGGTTTGTCTGCTGTAGACTAAATTATTTCCCTGAATGATGACCCAGTGACCCCCTGACCCTGTACCCCCCTACCTCCCCTGATACCCCACACACCCTCCCATAACCCATCCCCTGTCTCAGTACCCCCACACCCCATTACCCTCCCCTGTCCCAGTGCCCCCCAACCCCATTACCATTCCCCCTGTACCCTACCCACACACCCCTTACCCTCCCCATTACCCAGTACCCCATTACCTCCCTGTACCCTCCTCCCTGACCCAGTACCCCCACACCCCCCATTACCCTCTCCTGACCCCTGACCAAGCACCCACACCCCCATTATCCTTCTGTCCTAGTACCCCCACTACCCTCCTCCCCTGTCCTAGTACCCCCACACTCCCATTACCTTCTCCTGTCCCCTGACCCAGTACCCACCCCCCACACCCCATTACCCTACCCTCCCCTGTCCTAGTACCCCCACACCCCCAACCCCTCTCCTGACCCCTGACCAAGCACCCACATCCCCCCCATTATCCTTTCCCTGTCCTAGGTACCCCCCACCCTCCCCTGTCCCAGTACTCCCACACCCCATTACCCTCTCCTGACCCAGTACCCCACACCCCCATTACCTCCTTCCCTGTCCCTGTTCTAGTACCCCCACCCAGCTCCATTACCCTCCTCCCCTGACCCAGTACCCCCACACCCTCCCCCCTTGTCCCAGTACCCCCACACCCTTTACATTATCTCTCCTGTCCCCTGACCCAGTACCCCCACACCCCATTACCTTCCCCTGTCCCCCCAGTACCCCAGCCCTCCCCTGTCCCAGTACCCCCACACCCCCATTTACCCTGACCCCTGACCCAGTACCCCCACACCTTCCCCTGTCTCCTGACCCAGTACCCCAACACCCCCATTAACCTCCCTTGTCCCCAGCACCCCCACACTCCAACACTCCCACTGGCCTCACCATTGAGCAGCTTGCTGAGTCTGGCCAAGTCCATGTTCATGTGTTGGATGAGCTCCAGGTCCGTGAGATCTGACGGGTCTTCACTGCACGTCGATAGAGTCACCAGTCTGAAAATTGACATTCCATGAACTTGGTTAACAAACAAACATTGTAATCTCACAGTTAGACTAGTCGCAAAATACAGAATTCATGAAGACTGACTGACTGACTGAGTTTGGTTTTATGCCGCTTTGAGCAATATTCCAGCAACATCACGGCTGGGGACACCAGAAATGGGCTTCGCACATTGTACCCATGTTGGGAATCGAACCCGGGTCTTCGACGTGACGAGCCAACGCTTTAACCACTAGGCTACCCCACCGCCCCGAATCCACGAAGAAGGGGAACACAAGCAAACATTGTACTGCTCATGTTCACACAAATCTGTAAATGGATGAATAAGTGTGTATAACTGTAATGTTCAAAGTTAAAGGTTCAAGGAGGTACTAGATTCAAACACCACTGGAGAAGATCCATGGAATTTTAGAAAGCTGATTAAAATAATAATAACTATAACTTAAATAATTTTATTTTTGAATGAAATGCAAGCTACATTTATAACGATCCAAATAAACCACAAAAGGAGCAAAACTATGGCTATTTTTCCATTTGTGACATGTCATAACATTCAAGTCTTTTCTTTTATAATTTCATTTTTACGTAATCAGAAAATTATTGAGTAAAAGATTCTTTAAATAATATGTATGGTCAGCTTATTTCTCGAAGCTGACGTTTTCTTCGCTGTAACATGATGAAACAACGGAAAATACCTTAAGCTTTCGGGCTAAGTGATAATCGATCCGAGAGAGAACGCTTGATGTCGGGCAAGTCAAAGCTCTCGAACATATACAACATCACTGTAGCCTGCTAAATGGTATTTTCACAGTTGTACAGTTTATTTTATTGATAAAGATTGTTTTTCTAACGATCGCCTACAGTCTGCTATAAGGGTCGGATTGGTCAAAATCAGACAAGTGACCTAAGGCAGCCAATCATATTACGGCAATGGATACCGCCCCTCGTGAAACGGTAAAACTTTTAGATTTGACAAACAAAGTTTTGGGGTAAAATAATGCTATTCTGGAACATGGTTAAGCAAGAAATCACGTCACCTATACGTGAATTATGGAACTTTATTGGACGTGACGTGCTAGGTTATGACTCGCCAGACAAAAAATGCTTCATGTATGTATTTGTACGATTAAACATCGTGAAAGTCCTAATAAACTTTATGAATGCTGTTGTTGATTTTATTCATTAGTTTATTCAATTCTATTTAATAATTTCCTCTAAACATCAAGTACTTTGCTCTTTGACAAATGTTATTGTGGCCCCAGCGTCGGGCTATACGTAGTTCGAGAATCGTTGTTTTCAATAACATTGGGGAAAATAGTTTATAATTTTAATTCTGCTGATAATATATGATAAATTGAAATTTAATAAGTGTTTTGTAGACATTGTGAAATGTGATAGATTTGATATATGAATCAAAAGTCAGGTAGGTTCCTAAAATTATGTCGGTGTTTGATAATGTGCCAGCAACATGGTAAACATGATCCATTTGCCCTGAAACACAATTTTTAAGATTATTGCTTGGATCAGTTGAAGAGCTGTCATATTCCATAAGGAATCACAATGGGTTTTAAACCTCTTTGTAGACATGCTGGGACATGGTGATGGACAGCAGGACACGATTCCCACAAACTGACTGAAAGGCCTTCAAATCCCATATCAAGCACTGGCATCCCTTTAAGCATTGAACAGCTATTCCTGGAAGTTGGTAATCTAGACCATGCCATTAGGAAAGCAGCATTCGAATTAAAATTTCACAAACATATGTATCAGCTAATGGTTGGTGTAACAAATCAAAGGAATATAAAATAATTCAAATAATAAAATAATACAAAAAAATCAATAACTGCAATCATAAAATATAAACATGATATTGTTATCACACACGCACCTTGCTGAGATGCGGCTGAAGACGGCAGTGAAGTTGTTGAGGCTGAGGGCAAACAGGACCTCGGAGGCCAGCTTCTTGAGCTGCATCATCACAGGGGTGTCACTCTGCTGGTTCAAGAACTGCAACAGAATTATAGCATTTAGTAACACTACGTTACATGCTGACACAGCAATATTCCTACAAACCAATGGTTGATGTTAAGAACATCACCCATGGGAAGGTCACTGAGCCTTAAACCACTGAATTAGTCACCTCAACTGATGAGCATAGGTTACTGCAGTGAGTGAGTGAGTGAGTGAGTGGGTTACTTCCAGTTACATCATGAGGTGAGGTGAGGTGAAATTGGGTTTAACGTCGTGCTTGAGAATATTTCGCTCATATGGCGACGATGCATTGGCGTGATTGTATGTGCTTTTCTTGGATATATGTGCTTCCTGCTTGTACGAGAGAGACTATGAGTGAGATAGACTTAGGCTGGTCTTTATAGTGCTAGCCCACTGAGATAGTTCATGTAAAAAAAGTGAAGCATGAATACCCCACCCTGAGACACATTATACTGACTCGAGTCGCCCAGTCCTTGTTGCTTTCCCATTAATGCCGCTTAGCATCAGTACGGGACCATCAGTACCATATTTTAACGCCTTTTGGTATGGACGTTGTCGTTGATTGATTGACCAATTGATTTACGGTGGTCTCAACCACTACACCCGTGAGGCGTTAGTTACATCATGACCTGTGAGTTGACTGTCGCAGGAAAATGCAAGTGATGCAGGTCTCAAACATTTACCATTAGCTGAATCCTGTGAGCATGAGTATGGTGCTTACAAGCACGGAAACCTTTTCAAGGCAACACAGGGTTTGATCTACAATCATATGTTTCTGGTGTGCCAAAGAGATCCAACTCTGCACTGTTAAGAGTAATGCCTTAGACAACTGGGCTGCCCTTGTCCCAAATGTACATTCAGTACACAGATGACACAGATGGGTGTCATATGTTGCCATAGGGATAGTCTGGTTTTCAACAGCATTTAAGCTCGATCTCAAATTAAAAAGAGGAAACCCAAAATGAAGCAGTTGAAAGGGGACATCACTGACTGACTGACTGAGTTTGGTTTTATGCCGCTTTAAGCAATATTCCAGCAACATAATGGCGGAGGACACCAGAAATGGGCTTCACACATTGTACCCATGTGGGGATTCGAACCCGGGTCTTCAGCGTGACGAGCCAACGCTTTAACAACTAGACTACCCCACCGCCCGGACATCACTGAATTCAACAGCATAAAAAGACTATATCAAGCATCACTCTCAGGATGAAGGCACTGAACCCATGACCTTCAAGTTCCTGAACAACAAAGGGACACAACTCTGCCCACTCATACATGTGTTGGATCACCTTGAAAATGATCTCTCCAGATTGGAGCCTTACCTTGCATATCTCCGGGAGAAGCAGCTTCACATACATAGCTTCATCCAGGCGGGAGGTGTCCTTCGGTTGCTGGCAACAATACAACAGTGTAAGACAGAGGTCAAGGTCACATTGCTACATAAGTTGAATACATAAGAAAACATAGGCGAGGACTAACTGACTGAGTTTGGTTTTACGCCGCTTTTAGCAATATTCCAGCAACATCACGGCGGGGGACACCAGAAATGGGCTTCACACATTGTGCCCATGTGGGGATTCGAACCCGGGTCTTCGGCATGATGAGCCAACGCTTTAACCATTAGGCTACCCCACCGCCCCACATAGGCGAGGAAACAAAGTGACTAAAACTTTTACCAAAAAACAGTTCGGCCTTTTGTATTTTGGTCGGTATACAATTGATCTTGTCTACTTCAAGATAACATATCCCACACCAAGAGTTTTTGACACATATGAAACATTCATTAGGCTAACATTTTAGCAATTCCAGTCTCTTAAATATATTTTGTTCTATTTACCTAAAATCGAAAATATCCAAACACATGATAAGTATTGAAAACATTAGTGATCCAATATTTCAAACATAAAGCAACATTTCTTTCTACTTTATGGCCAGGGTGCCGTTGTACAAAACAACCTTAGCGCTAAGGTTACCCTAAGTCTATGTTAAGGTATGGGAGTTACGGTCACCTTAGAGCTAAGATCGCTTTGTACAACGGCACCCAGGCAAACAAACTGATGGCTGAAATCATGAGCATCAATCCATATCACTTGATTCTGAGAATACAATCTGCCAGGGCTCCGTTTCACAAAGCTCTCGTAAGCCTAAGATCCTAAGATAGCATTCATTCTCCCATACTGTAACAGCTCCATTTCACAAAGCTCTCGTAAGCCTAAGATCTCGTAACTTTTCTCGTAGCATTTGTACCTCCTATACTGTAACGGCTCCGTTTCACAAAGCTCTCGTAAGCCTAAGATCTCGTAACTTTTCTCGTAGCATTTGTACCTCCCATACTGTAACATTGACTTACCACAGTCGTAGCGTTACGAGAGCTTTGGGAAACGGGGCCCTGGTTATTACAAGTATTACAAGTCGATCAAGCACTCAGCTGTTAAGACTGATCATGGGAACTGGAAGCTATTTTATCCACAAACCCCTACTGTTTATTAATTATCAGGGAGCGCACAAAGTGTGCTAAGTGCAAGTGTACTCACCGAGTTGAGCACCTGCTTGAGAGTGTCCAAGATGATGAGCTGGGACTCATAGTGACTTCGCTCCGCCTCAGGGTGGTAGATTCTCTGTAATATATAGAGGCATCAGCTATCACACTTGTATATCAACTTTTCAGTGACATTAGAGATTGTTGTTTATTTGTGACAGTGGCACAATATGATAGATCTGCTAGACAAACATGACTGGAATTACCTCCCCTTGTTGTTTACAAACAAGAGTTAATCATTTGAGAAGTTTCAAAATGGAACAGTTTATCAGAGGTTGTTTGCAATAACACAAGGGAAGCGAAAGTAAAGAGCTCTTTTATATGACCATTCTCTTCACATAGAGGTTACTTGTCATATCGTCCTACGAACCTCTGTTCTAATACGGCCATATTTCCCGGTTCTCGTAAAATCCCCTAGCGGCAAAAAATCGCAACAATAATTATCTCCCTTCTTCTTATCCAATCAGAACACGTGATACATCGACTTAGATCCATCTTGACTAATGCAAGTGAAAATGGGGCCACAAATATCCAACTTCTCTGCCGGGCATTTGTGTTGATGAGATCAGGCATTACATGACTGAGTTCTGTCTAGAAGAAACGTTTGCGCATCGCGCAGGGGAAGAGGTTCTAGTTTTCCCGAAGCATACGGATATTACCGAGGCCTTGCGAAGGATCACTTTTGAAACAACATCGCTGATTGCACAACTAAATCTGATTGCAACCAATCACGAATCCTGAACACTGACAAGTAACAATGAAAGATGTTATATGACATGGTTTACCTATTTGATAAATGTGGATGAAAACACAGCTATATCAAAACACCAAACTACTGCCATTTCAAACACCACTACAGATTCAAGAACAAAATGGACCCTGTTTCAAAACATTCAGTAACAAAATATTCTGGACATTCTTGAGCACACTGACACATTATCAAACATCCATGAGGTCAAATTCCAGGCCACTGACCGCTCCATAGTAGTCACCTAAGGTCACTGACTACTTTCCTGATTAGAATTCATTGATAAGTCACTCTTCCTTCAGTAAACGTGAGGGTTACACAAGGGATGAGTTGTAAGCCGAATGACGTCATTCTTAGGGGCACGTATTGAGGAACGAGGCCTTCAGTTTGGTCCGTTTTGGTACGGTACATGAGACATGATCATAATACAGAAAATTGACAAAAAGTGCCAAAACCATCAAATTTTTGGATTGCATTACTGTATGCAAAATACCATGATTCTAATCTGCTAATAATACCGTGGTTTACCGTTTCTCCCCTAAGAATTATCAGTGTGAAAACAAGACAGAGCATAGCCAATAAAATGTGTACATTATTGAATAAACACATTACATAAAGTATGTAGATTCTCACACTAATCTAACACATATGAAATATAAACAGGACCTAAACTATATATACATTTGTATTGTGGATAACACATGACTTATATCCCCTGGGTGATACCATTAGTGTAGATCCTTTGTTATACAGTGTACATATCATCAATGCACCTAAATGTCTTTATTATACAGCATATAACATAGATCCCTACATTGTCGGTATCATACATTACATATTACAGGGTATTATAGATCATTACACAGTGTGTGTTAGAATTAATGTTACAATATTACGTCTATACTGGCAAAAGGTAATTGTCAACATTGCCAAAAATAGAAATTTGGAAATTTCTTACATTTGGAATTTATAACATATCCTGGAGGGAACTTCACAGTGGGAAGAATCACAGGTGGCTTGGGACAATGCTGGATCGATTGATCAAATAATCGGTCAATCGATCAATCTCACTTGCATCAGTGATTATCGATGGGCTCAGGAGACAAAAAAATTAAGTATTACTTAAACTTTAGAAAGTACCTATATTGTTATGTTTCATGGAAACTTTCAAGACATAGTTGCTCCAGGGCAAAATTGAAACTACCAGACTGGAGAATTCGACATATCATGAGTTTCTCAAGTTTGTTCATTTTCCATGTGGGTGAAAACTGGTCTAGAACCTATGCCTTTCTTAAGAGTGAGTGAGTGAGTTAGGTTTTAAGCCGCTTTTGGCAATATTCCAGCAATATCACTGCGGGGGACACCAGAAATGGGCTTAACACATTGTGCCCATGTGGGGAATCAAACCCAGGTTTTCGGCGTAACAAGCGAACGCCTTAACCACTAGGCTACCCCACCGCCCCCCTTGCGTAAGAACAGACCAACAGGACTTGGTAGACACATGTCATCATATCCCAATTGCTTAGATTGATGCCCATGATGTTGATCACTGGATTGTCTGGTCCAATTGATTATTTACAGACCACCGCCATATAGCTGGAATATTGCTAACTGCAGTGTTTAACAACAAACAAAAGCTTTTCCAAAAGGTCCGAGACCCTGCTTATTTCATGGACTTGTCACAGAAAAACAATGTTTTGTTCAGTTGACTCCATTTTTTGTGGATAAATCTCTGTGGCATCCAGTAATGTCCACATCAAAAGATTTCAACATTGGTTCCTTCTGTATGAATATCGGAACACATTAATCCTCCCTCATTTTGGGTTGTAAAATGTGTGTACCGGTAGTAGTTTTACGTAGTGGTGGTCCGATTAATTGAAATAATCGAAGATTGGTCGCAATGACAAAACGACCAAGCAATCGATCATGTTTTCTCATAATCGAACACAATCAATTTTGGAACAGTTGTTTGCAATAACAATATTTTTCACAAGGTTGGTTTTGTCTGTTAGATTTCATTAGCACTACAAGCTCTTCCAATTCATGATTGAATTAATTTTAAAGACTCCATGAAATTCATGTTCCTAACTTGCTAGTCATCCTTTAAAGATGTGAAATTTGCAAATGCATTTTGTGCAATTTGCAAAGAAAACGAAAGAACTACATGCTTTTTCTTTATCATTTGTGCATTAACAAACATAACCAGGAAAATTTGATAAATGACGCTAACCAATTATTTTCGATGATTGATCGGTTGTAATGAATCAATCACCAATATGAGATTTAAACCAATTCCCAACACTAGTTTTACGTGTGTGTCTTGCCTAATGTTCATTCTGACCCCTTTAATCATCCTCACCTTCTACTGTAAACAACTTCACTGAGTTGTCAGTGTTATCAGATGAACCGGTCGCATTGTTTAAACTAAAATAACGTAATCAGATGCACCACACTGATAACCAGAGGAGGCTTGACCCACTTACGACTGTAACATGTGATGCTGATGCCCTCATAGAAATAGAAATCGAAAACATAGGCCTTTAGTACTGTTTATGTTACAATCAGTAACTGTGAAAAGTCACGTTGACAACGAGTGGGTTTGGTTTACACTGCTTTTAGCAATATCACGGTGGTTGACACCAGATATGGGCTTCACACATTGTACCCATGTGGGAAATTGAATCCCGGGCCTACCCAGTGACGTGCGAATGCTTGCATTGGCAATGAACACGTTAAAACTGGAAACAAATGTAAATATCCCACCTGACTGGTTATTTTCACCACAATCTACTTACTGGACGTTTTTACAAAGACAACTGAACAGAAATGAGCTGCGGGCTTGTTTGAAGTGATCAATGGTCATCAAAGAGTCTAACAAATAATATATACTCTAAATATACTTTTCATTTTGGACCTGTGAAGGTCCGGGTTAGAATTGATCTTCAGCAACTCATGCTTGTCGTAAGAGGCGACTAATGGGATCGGGTGATCAGGCTCGCTGGCTTGGCTGACACATGTCATCGGTTCCCAATTGCGCAGATAGATGCTCGTGCTGTTGATCACTGGATTGTCTGGTCCAGGACTCGATTATTTACAGACCGTTGCCATATACTGTAGCTGGAATATTGGTGAGTGCGGCGGAAAACTAAACTCACTCACTCACTTTTCATTTTGTGCCTAATATACATATATTTAAACAGATTATAATCCCAGATATTTAATAAGGCCTAAAAGAAAAAGCTTGTGGTTCCGATTTCCTGACCAACCCTAAAGATTCCCGCCGAGCCTAACAATTTTACTCACCACATAATAAATTAAATTTATTTTCTGACACACGAGTAATGTAAAAATATTTTGCAAAAAAAACCAAAACCCCTACCTACCTACCCTAGTTCTGAAATGTAGGAAATCGGAACCACAACATTTATTTTTTTGGGCCTAAGACATTTAGCTATTTCATACTTCATCATGAAACAAATTGTTCTATTTATTAGCATCAAGATTACAGTTTCTGACTTATCTGAGTAGACATCCGAGTTCAGGTAGCATGTTGTTAACCTTCTGACTGCACGTTCGATGTGATAACTCTCACGCTTAGATAACAGTATAACAGTCCTGAAGGACGACTGGGTACAAGTAGTAGTCACTCCTGATTTAAGTTATCATCTTTATCTTAGTAGGACATGGCTTTCACAACGTGGTTAGCAGACATTACGTAAACTATAACACTTTCCATTAGCCCGGTGTTACGTTCGGTTGTGTCAGCGACAGTGAGGGTAGACAAAACAGTTTCGTCCAGACACCCAGTCTAAACGGTGTACAAGGAGCCTGGAAGGCATTTATTGGACGAAGAGAAAACCTCTATAAGTATAACTTTCATTTTGCCAGGTGTTTCATTCAGCTTTGTCAGCTATAGTGGGAGTAGCTTAAAAAGTATTGACTGGCTTGTGCACATTGACATTCAGGCCAAGCTGTCTAGAAGGAGTAGTCCGCCTGGAAGCTGTTCATTGGATGAAAAGAAAACTAGGTTTTTCAAGTACTCCGTCAATGGATTGAGAAAACTAGCATTAATTGTTACTGGACTGGATTGAGTAAAAGTTGCCTCCACAATTACTGACTTGGATTGAGAATACTAATTCAAGTATTGGCCTGGATTGAGAAAATTAGCCTCCAGCATTACTCACTTCATGTGAGAAAAGTCCTTTAGAATGACTCATTTGGATTGAGAAAACTAGCCTTAACAATCATTCAACTGGCTTGCAATACTAGCCCCTACAAGAACTGAACGAGACTGAGAAAAATAGCCTCTGGGATTACTTGCTTGGATTGAGAAACCCAGCCTCTAGAATAACAGACCACGACTGAGAAACCAGCCTCTAGAATTACTCACTTTGATCTAGAAGACAAACCTCTACAATTACTGATTTGGAACTGAAGGCAAGCCTACACAAATACTGAATAGTTCCACAAGGAAAACCAGCCTCTAAAACAATGAGTGTCAACAAAGACACTACTCTTGGAATAAACAATCCAGTATACGATACTTCCAATGAAACACTTCCAGAATCTTCGCCTGAAGACAAGGAACCACAGCTCCAACTATCATCAAAACAAGATGGCCATTATGAAGAAGACCCAGCTGAAGAGAACACCACCGTTTCCAATGATCCTAAAGACCTAACAGAAAGCACCAGTGTACATGGAGCCGATTCTCCATCACAAAATGTCTCCCAAGGAGCAAGGGGGTTGAATTACTCCACAGACACCCAAACAGAAACACTGCATACAACTGGCCATGGGAATGATACCTTAATCAACCTAAGCAGCCATGATGAGACAGTGTTGAACACGTCAGCTCGGGATGCTTTCAATAATCATAATAATACAGATGGCATGTATAGTGTTACTATGGTTACAGGAGATTCCACAAATATGCCAAATGGTGAAAGAGGATCAAATTTACATGAAAATGTAACACGAAGCAGCACATCGAAAGGTTCCGATGATGTTACAATCAGGACACAACATAACAACACAAGCACCAATGGAGTACCAGCAACACAACACGACAACCATCTTGACACAAGCATCAATGGAGCAATACAAGAAGACGGACATTTTTCAAATGACAAAGAGTCCTTTTCTAGTCAAAGAAACATGTCCCCTGACAACCTGGGTCTGGACCTTGGTGATGGTCAGAATGTGTTTCCATTGCAAGATGCTACATCACTAAAGGCCTTAAATGGTACAGAAATCAAAGGAATCATCAAAATTAGTGAGTACCACACTTCTTCATTATCCCTTATTCACATTATTGTTGATTCTTTAAGAGCAAATTTGTTTGTTTGTTTGTTTGCTAACAGTCCACTTAGAAATATTCTAGCTATATGAGCGAGTGAGTGAGTGAGTTTAGCTTTACGCCGCACTCAGCAATATTCCAGCTATATGGAAGCGGTATGTAAATAATCGAGTCTGGAAAAGACAATCCAGGGATCAACAGCATGAGCATCAAACTACGCAATTGGGAACCAATGACATGTGTCAACCAAGTCAGTGAGCCTGACCACCCGATCCCCTTAGTCGCCCTTACGATCTAGCTATATGAGACAATATTGGAAATAATGGATTCTGGACCAGACAATCCAGTGATTGATATCATGAGCAATCATCCACACCATAGGGTGCAAGGCTATCAATAGATTCACAGGTTTTACAACCCGATCAAGTTGGTCCCCACTTTTAGAACCAGCAGGGGATTGATATCATGAGCAATCATCCACACCATAGGGTGCAAGGCTATCAATAGATTCACAGGTTTTACAACCCGATCAAGTTGGTCCCCACTTTTAGAACCAGCAGAGGATTGATATCATGAGCAATCATCCACACCATAGGGTGCAAGGCTATCAATGTCTTCACAGGCTTTACAACCGGATCAAGTTGGTCCCCACTTTTAGAACCAGCAGGGGATTGATACTATGAGCAACCTATCTTAGTAATGGTGTAACAAACCACAACATCAATCCATTTTAAAATATCACAATATGCATATTTACATCAAAAACATGAGAAAATTTGTTGACTATAAATACTTCAGAGCAGGTTCAAAATGAAAATCATGATGTCAAATTATGTTCAACGTGGTTATTTTCAGCAGTAAATTTGAAACGCTAATTACATGTGTTTTTTCAAAATGTCACTGTCAAAAGCACTGAACGGTATTTGAAAAAGAAGCAAACAATTTATTTCACTTTTAGCAAATGTATCGGTAAGTATCGATTAAAAAAACATTCATTAAAATTAAGACAATGCAGCAATGTACTGATGTATGTTTTACCCCTACTAGAGTTAGGTTCATGCTAGCAGCCTAAAACATTTTGGGCACAGGCTGCTTTTGGGATAACATGAAACAAAAGTTTGTTTGTTGTTTAAAACGCCGCACTCAGCAATATTCCAGCAATATGCGGCAGTCTGTAACTAATCGAGTCTGGAACAGACAATCCAGTGATCAACAGCATGAGCATCGATCTACACAATTGGGATATGATGACATGTGTCAACCAAGTCAGCTAGCCTCATCACCCGATCCCGTTAGTCACCTTTACGACAAATATAGGTTACTGAAGACCAATTCTAACCCAGATCTTCACAGGTATGAAACTAAAGTAGAGGTGTGACAATGGAAATGATATTATGAGGCTGTGATATTATACGTATCCTAATAACATGGATATGATTTGTATTCCGATGCAGTACTCCTATTTCATATGTTCATATTCTCTCCGTTTCTGTAGGTTAATTGAAACCCTGAATAATTAGATAGACAGTGAAGATGGGATCCTGTAGGTGAAGACCATACAAGCTTTGGGGCATTGTGAAGATTCTGCTATTTACAGCCAACCAGGAAATTCTAGAGAATTTGCAAATTAATGTTATTTTAACATTTTAATATCAATGTAACTTATAATATACAATTATAGACTCTTGTAGAGGTCGATATCGGTTTTTATTGACCTGAGTAAAACAATATCGACCGAGCTTGCGAGGTCGATATTGTTTTTCTCAGGTCAATAAAAACCGATATCGACCTCTACAAGAGTCTATAATTGTTTTATTATATAATGAAAGAGAAACGGGTTTTAACATAAACTTTTAATGCACACACTGTGCCATCTATCCGAGTGATCTGATTGGCTGAAAAGCGGGGGAAGCCCCTTCGTACGGGATTCCTTGTCTATTTTTAGTGACCCAAGTCAATATCGTAATTTATCAGAAAACTCAAGTCAATATCGTGTTTTGTAGTCAATCACTTGACGGTCTTTTGACCAATCGTGGTACAGGAAAAATACTACCTATATAATAATGTAATGTATTGTGTGTAATGAGATGGAGGAATTGTAAATCGATATCATGAGCCATGTATCATGATACAATATTGTTGTATCATTACACCAGTAAACAAAAGCCCCGACTGACCATCTGAGAGACGGACTGCAGCGTCTTGGTCAGGCCGTTGATGACAAGAGAGAACTTGTACTTGCTGACGTTCACCAAACATTCCTTGTTCTGTTTGACGTTCTGCACAGACTGCGTTGTGTGTAATCCTGTCTTGATAGGCAACTGAAACAAACACAAACAGGATATTTATAAATATCATTCTTGTTTCTCAAGTTAACATCGCACTCAGCGATATTCTAACATCATGACTGCAGTCAGTAAATAGTCAGGTGTCAACCAGACAATCCAGTGATCGGTATCGGAGCAACCATCCATGTCATCAGGGTACAATGTCACACAAAGAACCAAAACATTCATTCATATACGTAATAACAACAGCCTTATTTCTATGTAGGGGTGAAATGGTATGCTCTTACCACGGTACCTATTGTGGTACAAGGCCTTTGGTTCTGTCTGTTTCGGATCGGTATATGAACATGATAATGAGAAAAGAAAAGAAACGCATAGATTTTGTCAAAATGATTTGATTTCTAGACATTATAGAAAAAGTTAATAAAATGATGGTACGAAAACATAAAATACCGATTTTTTTTATTGCATTACGATATACCGAATCGAAGGCAAAATACAGCAGTTCTACTAATACCGTGGTATACCGTCTCGCCCCTATTTCCATAATAGTTGGTCAATTTACAAAAATAAAAAAATATAATACAGTGACAATTCACTATTCCACAAAGTACTGGTATCAAACTGGTGGCCAATATCATGAGCAACATCTGATGATGTCAGTGTTCGACTACATTCACTCAACCAGTTTTCCAGCATATTCACTGACCTTACAAATTTATGCCCTGAATTTTTGCCAAAATATTACCTGAGTAAGCATTAGCCGCATCATACATTACAATTTTCAAACCATGTTCTTGATGGAAAAGCCTGATACTTTACAGTAACCAGCATAAATCAGGGGTGGAAATAACTTTAAAATTGCTAGTGTACTCCGGTACAGTGGCACATGTAAAATCACTTGCCCTGATAATTTTTCCACTATACCGGTCGTTTTCTTGTTGATTTTTTAAATAAACAACATAATTAATATTGGAAAGTCAACTGGACACCAGTACAGTTGATATACAAATTTGCTTGCCCGACAGAAAAAAACACTGGACTCGGGCATCGGGCAATGGGTTATTTCCACCCCTGATAAAATGTATATAGCTTAGTATATTTTTCTGGGTGACTTGCACAGTATTTCACTGAAAAAGGGCATACATAACAAATTTGTTGTCATCTAAAGCAACTGAAACCCATTCACTAATTAAAGGTCAAATCTAATTAAAGGTGTTTTCATTGCAGTTTTGTCCTTTTTTCAAATAAAAATGTATTTCAGCTTACAGAATATGGAGGATCATCAGCTACACCCTTCCTGACGTGTAAGATGAAGTGACCTAATTATCAATTATTCCTAAATCCCTCGAACAATCATAATAAAGAATGGGCACATGTCGGGTGGAATATTGTTAATGCAGTAGGATAACTAAATGCTGATTTTGAAAGATGTAATAACTGCCTGTTAAGAATTTCTGTCATGTCAGCAGATTTAACAAAACTATGTCACTTCCAAATCCATGGTCCACGTCAAATATATATTGCTAGTATGTTATAAATTATATATGCCAGGCTTAATGACAACATTGTGCCAAATTCATGAACAATTAACCACGAAATTGAACACATTGTAGATATTCAGCTATTGTCTACAAAACCTTTCTTTCTAGTCAGCATTTTAACTATTATAATGTGACAGCTGTATTTGGTATACTTTCCAACACCCAAACGAACATCACTAACGGATGTGTATTGAGAAGTTTGTGTGCCATTCAGAAATGAAAGAATTTAGCTTATTAACATTTACAACAATGCAAGTGAGTGAATATAGTTTTACGCCGCTTTTAGCAATATCCCAACAATATCATGACGGGGATACTAGAAATGGGCTTCACACATTGTACCCATGTGGAGAATCGAACCTGGGTCTTCTGTGTGATGAGCAAACACTTTAACCACTAGGCTAAACCACTGCCCCACAATGCAAGTAGTTCCACAAAAGGCATGTCTTTAGCAAAGTGAATGTACAGTTGTAATATAAACCAAGAGCGATATGATTTATTGAATTCGGTTCTGGATAGACATTTCCATATTAATATAATACTGACAATATTAAGATGATTTACAGGATTGAAAATATATCAGTCACAAATATGTGTATACTTCCAAATATGGACTTTGTAAACTCAAACCAGGTGTGCCCTCAATGCAATCTGATGCCAAGCCCTTATCACCACCTACACAATTGTTTTTTACACTTACAAATATGCACCATGATGCATCTAAGTGTGCATGCTGTCATGAGTTGACTATTATCATTCAAATCCCATTCATTGCTAGACATCTTTAATAGACTTTAAATTTATCTTGATGATGTCAAAAACGAGCTGCTATTTTAGTTGGAACTTCACCGATGTAAAAATACACACATGAAACGTGTGTTTGTGGAAATCCTTTTGAATTATAATAATGTGAGATTGACATGTATACACCATACAGCTCAAAATGTGTAATAAAGACTCACTAAAATATATGCTACGGGAAAAGTGATACTGGTAATGTTGCAACAGGTCCCTTCCGAGGTTCAGCGTCCAAATTGACAGGTACAGTAGTGCCCATTAGTGACACTGACTAGCTTATGTATGTTTATTTTCTGTTATTTACAGCGTTTACTGGTCTAGCTCGAATAAACACGGCTGAGTTGGTAAACAGGTGTCTGTGTCAGTCACAACAGACAATCTGGCCTTGTTACTGAACCAAACACATCTCACAATAAACGCGGTGTCAAAATATCCCCAGATCTTCATAAATAACATTCAAGCAGTTGACATCTGTGCAGAGGAAAATTCATTCATAAATTTCAGCGACGGTGCCACACATCGCTTCACTGGCGATCCCACGATGCATGCATCGACATGTGCACGCGCTGGGTACTAACCTGGGCGTCAAACCGAGCAATGAGTGACTGCACCCATTCGCCCGGTTTCTGCGTGGCCATCGCTCAAGGTAAATTCAGTATAAGCTTGTCTTCACTTCGCTAACCTCGCGGCCATCATGCCTCCGTATTTTTAATGAAATCGCGCGCATGCGCACTCGAGACCCTCACTCCATTTTTGGTAACGCACCTTCTAACATATTTATGACATCATTGACCGAGAGCGAGTCTGACCCGGTTTTGATACCACCGCGGTCATCATTGGATGTTTACGAGACGCCCCCTCACTCATCTGATAACGGGATCTGCCGATGTTTCCCGAACGCATGTTTCCCGTAACAGTTCCGCTAAGTAACATATTCCCAACTATAAATTATGTATAAGGCCCGTCCATTTAATAAAGAAGCGATATCACATTAACGGTGTGTGTCGTTTCATATCAGTCTGAAAATATCCATATTCTTTGTGTGTTGATTTTCATCTGACTTTCAAAATTCATTTAGATCTATAACGAGGTCACATCAGAGACCATATAGTAGAGGTGTCGGTATATATACCATCGGTATATTGTTTCTGTGTAAACTTTAAAATATTATTCGAGTTTTGTATTAAAGGGGGTTGTTTTTATTTTGCTTATTTAAATTACAACCGTATCAAAAATATGAGTGAGTGAGTTTAGTTTACGCCGCACTCAGCAATATTCCAGCTATATGGCGGCGGTCTGTAAATAATCGAGTCTGGACCAGATAATCCAGTGATCAACATCATGAGCATCGATCTGCGCATTCACGGGGATGAGTGATGACGCGCTTGTCAACCAAGTCACGGCGGGGCAGAGCCTGACCACCCGATCCCGTTAGACGTCTCTTTACCTGGGCTACTGAAGATAAATATTCTGACCCGGAGCTTCACGGGTAAACAAATATGAGTGAGTGAGTGAGTTTAGTTTTACACCGCTTTTAGCAATATTCCAGCAATATCATGGTTTTTTATGGGGACACCAGAAATGGGCTTAACACATTGTGCCGACGTGGGGAATCGAACTGATACAGGGCTTCGGCGTGACGAGCGAACGCTTTAACCACTAGGCTCACAAATTTCAATTTGTATTTGGCATTCGTTCACACACTGCGTGCAATCAAATATGAATCACATCGAAACAGTTGAATAGAAACGAAGAGGTCAGGCGCTTCACCATCTAAACGTAATTTACGTCTCTCTAGAATCAAATATAACCGAATCAGATTGATTGTTTGTTGTTTATCACCGCACTCAGCAACATTCAAACTATATGGCGGCAGTCTGTAAATAATCGAATGTGGACCAGACGACCCAGTGATCAACAGCATAAGCATCGATCTACGCAACTGGGATACAATGACATGTGTCAACCAAGTCAGAGAGCCTGACCACCCGATCCCCTTAGTTGCCGCTTACGACAAGCATGGGTTACTGAAGATCAATCCAAACGAAGGATCTTCACAGGTTGAACCGAATCAGAATCACCTTCGGAAGATGTATTATGCATATACAGAAATATTAAGATGGCGGGCGAAGTCAAAATTATACATACAGGGTCGGATCAAGGATTTTGAAAAGGAGGAGGGAGAGGAGTGTTTGGGATTGACATCGGTGTTCCTTCCCCCCAAAATAATGATAAAAAAAATGAGAACTGGGAAAATATTATTTAAAGCCCCAGTCTATAATTGAACATGACGATTTTATGTAAAATTTATACACATAATTACTTGTAACAGTATAATTACATATACGCAAATATTTCATCTCTTTATTATTTGTTAATTCACTGATAAAATGGAAAACATATGCTGTCATCCAATTCGTTCCACATATACAGTAGCTGAGACATTCTTTTGGTATCCATTTTGAACCGGATGGTGAAACCATCCACTCGTTTATAAAACTAGAAACTAGTTTCACTTTGAAACCATGTATCCGAAACTAGACACTCGTTTATAACAGGAGAAACCAGTTTCAAAAAACCAAAACCAGTTTCGCAATAATCGGACAGGCCCTTAGTGTAGGTGAACTGGGGTGTAGGTGAAATGAGAGTGTAGGGGTTATGGGTGTAAAGCTTGACATCATGAGCATCGATCTGCGCATTTGGGATACGATATTATGACGTCAAGCAAACAAACGAGCCTGACCACCCCTTAGGACAAGACCTCCTCCGTGGTGTAGTGGTTAGAGCGTCCGCTCGGAGAAAGGAAGGTCGCGGGTTCGATCCCCGACCGCGTCATACCAAAAGACGTTAAAATATGGTACTTGTTGGTCCCTGCCTGGTGCTCGGCATTAATGGGTACAACAAGGACTGGTCGGCCTCGGAGTCAGTATACTGTGTCTGAGTGGGGTATTCATGCTTCACTGCGGCATGGTATCTCAGTGGGCTAGCACTATAAAACCAGCTTCAGTCTGGGCTAGTACAAGCAGCCGCACATACACATACACACGCATGCACGTCGTCATATGAGCGAAATATTCTCAAGCACGACGTTAAACCCAATTTCACCTCACCTCACCTTAGGACAAGTACAGTTGCCTCTTCCGACATGCTGAAGACCAGAGGCTCCTTTCACGAAGCAACCTTTACTAAGGTTAACCTTAACTCCCATTCTTTAGCATTGCACCAAGGTTACCTTAGTGACTTACGATCACCTTAGTGTTTTGTGAAAGGAGGCCCTGTTCTTTTCCTGATCTTTACACGTATATATACCCTTATACGTCACGTTTAGTTATTTTGCGGTGAACGTGTAACGTGTCACCCATTTCGGTATGTGCTGAGAAACGTATTCTCAGCGAGCTCGGATTCAAACACACGATCACAAGTTCCGGGCGTACACAAGGGAGGCAACTCTGCATAGCGAATTGCGTCGACTGGGCCAGTTGTTCCCCTTCCTTACAGACGAAGCAGTGGTAGTTGCAATATGTGACGTATACATCACCTCAACACTACTATTTCATAATTTACATGACGGGACGATAACTTCATGGATAAAACATTAATTCAAAAGCCCCGGCTTCGATAACACTTGAGGATAAAATGTCTTAAGTCCGTTTCTTGTGTCACATAGCGTGATTTTGCTGGAATAGTGCTAACTGCGGCGTAAAACAATGCTCACATTTCACTAGCTAAGATACATAGCGTTCACTGACATTAAAGTGAACGCTATGTATCTTTAGCTAACATTTCACTGGGTGCTTCTTTAGTCATCTTGATTTCATTTTAACTCATTTTAACAGCACCAAAATAAGCGAGGAAACAGGTTGGGGTCCACTTTATGAATCGGATGGTCAGGCCGGCCTGGTTTGTTGGTGACGCATTATCGTACCCAATTGGCGTGGATCGTTGTTCCAACCTGACGAAGGGTTGTCAGACTCGAATACAGACGTGTAGCTGTAATATAGCTGGACAGTTAACAATGTAAACAACAAACAACAACAACGTTAACATCAATACTATGCACAAATTTTCCGTAACACGTATATTTCATCCTGTTTTTACCGAGACAGTGTTTCGACATTGGAATCAATTTTGTATGTATACTCGTCAAAAATATAAACGCACAGCCAGACTATTGTTGCGGGAAGTAGCTAACTTTTTCTGAAACATCCCGCTGAGAGATAACTGCTTCCAATCACCTTGTGGCCTTATTCTGTTTCATTTATTCATCGCACGACTCCATAATTAAACAATTTAAACAGCAGAATTGTTAAAATTGGTCTTCAGCAACCCAAGCTTGTCGTAAGAGGCGACTAACGGGATCGGGTGGTCAAGCTCGCTGACTTGGTTGACACATGTCATCGTATCCCATTTGCGTAGGTCGATGCTCATGCTGTTGATCACTGGATTGTGTGGTCCAGACTCGATTATTTACAGACCACTCCCATGTAGCTGTAATATTGCTGAGTGCGGCGTAAAACAACAAACAAACAAATCAAAATCTAACAGACAATATTTTAGCAACGTGTTTGCATTGATTGTTCTCTGGCTGGATTGGTGGGCGGTGGGATATAGTCTATAGTAGTTTAGTGTTTGCTCGTTTCGCATCAGACCAAGGTTCGAATCCCCACATGGGTACAATGTGTGAAGCCCATTTCTGGTGTCCCCCGCCGTGATATTGCTGGAATATTGCTAAAAGCGGCGTAAAACTACACTCACTCACTGATAATGCTGGAATATTGATTTTTAAACGGCGTAAAACAATTCTCACTCTCTAATGTGTTACGTTCCTCGTATTGTTTCGTTTTAGCTATACATTTGGTCGTTGCAAACATTTTGATGACACTAACAATGACGTTATTAATTTTATACCAATTCACACGCTTCACGTGTCCCTTACATTCCGTAATAAGATTACATATTACAACCACTTGTGCGTATCATTTTTTATTTGAGAGGCATATCAACATGACTGTGTTGCCAGTGTAGCGTGTGTCAGGTGATAGTGACTGAACTCAGTATGACCCAAATATAACGTCGACTTATTTCCGTCATTCTACATATCAGCCCGGGCCTTATCGCTCCAGTGTCGTGTGTAGATTCTGCATGATTAGCGGACAATCAACGTGTCTCTGTAAAATCTGAAATACCGTGATGCGTAGTTTTAAACTTTATGGTAAACAGCACCATTTGTGAATTATGAATATTGATCATGGATATTACTAGTGGGAAACCATCAACCAGTGCTTGTGTGGTTATCACGTGAACTTCACAATGTACAACAGCGTTGCAGGTAAGACGGGGTTTTGTTTAAATGTCTTTTTGTGATTGCTGGAATGGACATAAGTGCTAGCTTTAACCGACTTCTCATCATCTATACTCATGCCAATAATGGTTGTTACCCCCCCCCCACAACAACCCCACACCCGCACCCCTCTCCAATAAAACAAATTGAAGGGGGTGACAACCATTATTGGCATGAGTATATATTGTCTACATAAGTCAAATAACTTTCGTCCCAAGCCTCGTAGAGATAGACTTCACCAACACGTTCATACATACACAAAAGTACCGCGTGACCGAAACCGAATTTAGAATGCACGCAACCCTCCTCCCCTCAAAGTTCAAAACTGTGGTTTCATTTCCGCAGGAAACAGTAATATTTCGTCGCCTGAGAAACAGATGATTTTATGTCCACTTTACAAGGTTTGAGTTGTCGCCTATTTTTTAGTTATCCAGTTTTTGGATATAGAACCATAATAAAAATTGAAAAAAAGACCTTTAGAGTAAAGATATGTACTTGAAAATATATATATCACGCACAGACCTCTATAATTAACAAATATTAAAAAACATCAATTTCACAAAACGTGGACATAGAACCATCTGTTTCTCAATCGATAGAAAACTTTTGTTGTGGATAGACATGTTCAATCTCGAAATATTTCTAATAAAATCGATCGTCATTTGACTTCATGTTCAAATGATATCTATATACTGTGGACCCCGTGAAGATACGGGTTAGAATTGATCTTCAGTAAGTTGATAGTAACCCATGCTTAGAAGCGACTAAGGGGATCGGGTGGTCAAGCTTGCTGACTTGGTTGACACATGTCATCGTATCCCAATGATGCTTATGTTGTTGATCACTGGATTGTCTGGTACAGAGTCGATTATTTACAGACTGCCGCCACATAGCTGGAATATTGCTGAGTGTGGCGTAAAAATACCCCCACCCCCACACACACCCACCCCACCCCTATATACTGTGAGGAGATGACTATAAAGTGGATTGGTTGGTCGGGCTTTGAGATATGGGTCCTCATTATTTTGTGCATTATTGTCACCTCCCAATCAAGAATAATTTGGCAAGTCTAGACTGCCTCAACTCAAATGAAGCATTTTGTGTTCTCCATTTGGATTATTTATTTACTTGTTTATGTTTATCAGTTTCGCGTGGGATATAAAGTCATGTAAGCGGTCACTGTAGCGTCTCTGCTTGACAAAAAATATGTATTCCAAATACATAGCTAAGTTATTCGGATTGTGTCTTAAAACAACGAACAAGCAATGAGATAAAATGTCAGTGTTATGAAATATGAGATTTTGATGTGATAAGAGAATGGTTGAAATTCTGATAATGAAACTCATGCAGTGTGGCGCACTCTACATATTATAATAATTTTTTTCAACAATTAAAAGTAAAAACATCGCTCATTGCTTATCAGAAGACGTTATGTCGCTGCACAAGAAATAGTTGTGTGGAATATCTTATCTTAAGCTTTCGTTTACTTCCTGTTTGAGCCTCACTGCCTCATGACTCGGTTGTAATCACAGAAATACGAACAGCGTAGTATTTTTGAAGGACTATGACTTAATATTGGAAGACACAAATGAATAACTTTGTTCCGCCTTTTGACGACACTGTATTGATGGACGACATGCCTGTTGCAATTACAGAGTCGGACACAGCACCGATAGTTGAGAATGAGGAAAATGGACACGCTGTTGCCAATGTTCCTGAAACACAGGCTGTTCAGCCTGCAGTCAATGGAATCAGCAGGGTGACGGCCTATATCACTGTAGCAACGCTGCTCGTCATCAACCTGCTCAACTACATGGACAGATACACTGTTTCAGGTAAAAATGGTTGAAGAAAGAGCGAATTGTAATTGCATAATATCGATACTGAGCCTTGAGAAACAGAGGGGCGTGGTTATAGGTGTGTCATTTGCTCAATAGGTTTTTCAGGTCATCATTTGAGTCAATCTTACAGATGGTGACAACACTCTAGTTTTCTGGGCAGTTAGGCGTGCACTTTACACAGGTCACTCATTTCCATATTTCAGTTTACACTGCTTGCAGAATCGAACACACATTGCAATTGCCCGCTTGAAGCTAACTCACATTTCGTTAGGCTAATGTGTAGATTATATTAGCAAAAATTCTACCTCTGGACCACAGATGCTATCACAGACATTTAGTGCTTGTAAACGAAGTTAGCGCATCAGATTGTTCACGTTTATGCGCATGGGCAGTTGCCATTTTCTCAAGAAAACTACACAACTTGAAAAAATGTGCAGAGGCTCATCCAAGCTGCATTGGATTTCTTTGTTAGAAGAGATACCCAATCTCACAACTGACCCACAGGATTGTTAAGGGTACCTAATCCTAAGGATCTTTAAGAGGTGTTCCATCAGCATGTGTTGCCTGAAATGGGTACTACAGATATGGACCCCAGGTATGTTTCTGTATACAGAAATGTTAAAAAGCACAAATGTACCCTGGCCCATACACAGCTAACTCTTGGGACATAAGAGGCCCGCAAGTTCGGAGGAACGAGCGCCATATTTGAAACTCTGAGCCAGTTAGTGCTACAGTAAGTTGTGCATGATAAACTGCACTGTTGCGAAGTCATATAGAATGAATTAGCAGAGCAAGCACCTGAACTAACTCTAAGACTAGTGAATTAAGGGTTCCATAAGGCTTAGGACTAGCCTGAAACAGAATTTCTGAGGCTTTGCTTATCGACGTCGAGGTGTGGTCAAATAAAAAATAGCAGTTTTGGAAAACCCCAGGTTAAAAATAGCAGCATTGATGCATTGCGATACCCTCTACATTTCTGATTGGTTGTTAGGGTGCAAGGTCTCGCGCTCAATGAAAAGCGTGATCACTTGACCGGTAAAATTTACAAATGACCGGTATTTGAAATGCTTGCCGGTCATGATGTCCAGCTGTAATAAATGCCAGCGGAAACACTGATGTCATCATGTATGTCAAACAGAACCTGAAAAGTATGTATAACACACAGACTAATGGGTTGTTTAACCTAACACTAGCTGTATATTAAATTGTTAAAATGTGTAAGATGTAACATGTAACAAGCTAAATCTCTTTGATCTATAACAGTAGTTAACAGTATTAGGGTTAGGTAATTCAATAAATGTAAATTTCCGAATGAGTTCATTTTAAAGACTAGATGCTGGTCTATGTCATCTTTTGGAGGAGGGTAAAACTAAAAGTGATCTTTGAAGTTTCAAACCATATTGCCTCTTGCTTGCCCAGCAACCAACCTGTGCTTGTTGTTCGCGATGACTATGGATCTGATCGTCAGGCTTTATCGACTTTGTTGATTTAGGTGTCTTTATTCCTGATGGCATGCTCATAGCCTCAACTTGTCCAAAATTGATGTGTTACATGTTATCATTTTATTGCTGGGAACTAGTGGTGGTCCGATTAATTGAAATAATCAAAGATTGGTCGTAGTGACTAAACGACCAAGCAATCGATCATAATTTCTCATAATCGAACACAAACAATTCTGTAACACTTGGTTGGTTTTGTCTGTTATATTTCGTAAGCACTACAAGCTCGTTTCAAGTCATGATTGAATTCATAATAAAGATTCCAAGAAATTTATGTTCCTAACATACTAGTCATCCTTTAAAGATATGAAATTTTGCCAAAAAAAACCCCAAAAGAACTATATGTTTTTTTCCATATTTGTATGTGCATTAACAAATTTCATAAATGACGCTAACCAATTTTTTTCGATGATTGATCGGTAGTAATGAACCAATCATCAATTATGAGATTTTAACCAATTCCCAACACTACTGAGAACAGCTTTTGCTCATAAACGTTGATCAAACAAACCAAAGCATGATCTTGAGGTGAACTAATGCTGAGGTGCAAGTTGCGGAATGTTAATAAACATCGACATTTTCTTGCACATTATTCTTTTATTATAACCATACATTTTTGAAAAATATTAAATTATTTGAGAAATGATAACAAGTGTAATTGATGATTGTGGTATTGTCAGTAGTAACCATGGTAACAGTCATATTTTATTTTAATGGTAATAGAGATTGATGTGGAGATACAGGTCAATGCTCAGTTTTAATGAACCACATAACTATTATATTGGTGGCACCATATGAAGTTGAAATCAGTTGTGTACATATTTGGTATTTAAGGAAATTCAAGTGTTTATCAGGTGTTTTGGGTAGCCAAATGGTTAAGTGTTAGCTAGTCACGCTGAAGGCCACGGTTTGATTCCCTACATGGGTACAATGTGTGAAGCCCATTTCTGTTGGACCGCGCAGTGATATTGTTGGAATATTGCTAAAAGTGGCACAAAACAATACTCACTCTAACTTAGTCTAAGTGTCTTATTTGAGCAGGTAAACAGTTGATGCCTGATAATATTTAGTTTCTGATGTTTTGTGACATGGCCGCTGAGCCCTTAAACAATGCAACATCTGAAGGTGAGGTGAGGTGCAATTGGGTTAAACGTCGTGCTTGAGAATATTTCTCTCATATGACGACGTGCATGCGTGTGTATGTGTTTGTACTAGCCCAGACTGAAGCTGGATTTATAGTGCTAGCCCACTGAGAAACCATGCCGCAGTGAAGCATGAATACCCCACTCAGACACATTATACTGACTCCGAGCCAACCAGACCTTGTTGTACCCATTAATGCCGAGCGCCAGACAGGGACCAACAAGTACCATATTTTAACGTCTTTTGGTATGACGCGGTCGGGGATCGAACCCGCGACCTTCCGCTCTCCAGGTGGCCGCTCTAACCACTACACCACGGAGGCGGTCGCAACATCTGAAGAACCATTATCAACATAAAATCTTTTCCAAGTCTGATTGGACATATGTATGGCCAAGAATGTCCTAAATACTTTATCATCTAGAAATTTATATGAATGTTAATAATATTTGATAATATTTATGAATTCAACCATGTGTCCATATTTGCTACCAATTTTGCTCATGCAAGCAATGCACACCAAAGATTATGTAGTTTGACATTCAGTTGAACAATCTATTTGCCTTATGGATGTGACAAATTATCAATATCAAAAATCGGTTAGATATGCGTTCAGTTCATGATAAGATATGGAATATAAATACATAGCTGACTGTATTTGTAAAATCACCCTGTACTATAAGTTATCACATCGTGTCGAGGGAAATACGGGGTTTTATCAGTCCCGAGTAAGGTTGTATTGAGTACCTTATTTCCCTCGACATGATGTGATAACTCATTTACCTAGCCGAATGTTTTTACTAAATCAAAAGAAAACAAATACGCATCGAATCAATTTCATTCTCAGTTGTTGTGGCAACACGTTTCCTTGCTGCCATGTTGACACCAACTGATCGATTGACATCAATGCAGTGCACGTTACTAAAGGTTTGGCGATGCACGCTTTTCTCACTTCACGTGGTCACCGAGGCGTGGCGGGATAATATGACTTTTGTACTCCCTGCTCGCGGATCGTGACGGGTGTACATGGTATTTTATCAGAGTCATGTGAACCAATCAAAACTCGACATTCTGACATGAGGCTGGATAAAGTGCTGTATGCGCTGCATGCTGAAGTGAGTGAGTTACGTTTAACTCCACACTCAACAATATTTCCAGCTTTATGGCAGCAGTCTGTAAGTAAGCGAGTCTGGACCAGACAATCCAGGGATAAACAGCATGGACATCTATCTACGCAATTGGAATACGATGACATGTGTCAACCAAGTCAGCGAGCGTGACCACCCGATCCTGTTCGTTGCCTCTTACGACCAGCATGGGTTACTGAAAACCAATTCTAGTCTGGATCTTCACAGGTTATAATGCATGCTGAAAGGCCTGCTGAAATTACTATCAGCCCGAAATTAAATCTGTCAGCTAGTGATGGGAATTGGTTAAAATCTCTTAATTGATGATTGGTTCATTACTACCGATCAATAATCGAAAATAATTGGTTAGCATCATTATTGAAATTTGTTAATGCACATAAAAATAATGGAAAAATGCAGTTCTTTTGTTGTTTTTTTGCAAATTTCACATCTTTAAAGGATGACTAGTATGTTAGGAACATAAATCCCCTGGAGTCTTTAAGATAAATTCAATCATGACTTGAAGCGAGCTTGTAGTGCTTACGAAATGTAACAGACAAAACCAACCATGTGAAAAATATTGTTAATGAAAACAATTGTTCCAGAATTGTTTGTGTTCGATTATGAGAAATTATGATCGATTGCTTGGTCGTTTAGTCACTACGACCAATCTTCGATTATTTCAATTAATGGACCACCACTACTGTCAGCTTGAGATTTCCTTAAACTATTTGTCTGTAAGTAGCAATATTAAACAGAATCATTTTCGCTAAGCAAACAACAGAAAACAAACTTTTATAAGGAAAATGTGAAATTTGTAATTAAGCATGATGAGGCATGATGAATCACAAGTTCAACATTATTTCCTGTTTATGTGCCGGAATTAGGATTATAGTGTATGTTTACCTTGTGAACCTAGTTAGATAAAGCAGTCAGCTGTACATGTTTCCGCTTAATTACCAGGATAAAGTGAAGGTGTACACAATAATATCACAGAGGAAATTTTGATAATAATAATGATAATAATACCATTGGCTGTTTGGGCTGTTTGTAGAGGGGGCAAGGGCCCTGAGTTGATGATTTGGGGGCGTGGTGAGCGAACTGGCTAAAGCGCCAGGCTAGTGATCCAGTGAGCTTGAGGTGACGGGATCGAGCCCACCTGTGACCGGGTGTAAAACCTTGGAGTCAACTTTGTGTGCAGACTCTTTCAGTGTTGTCACAACCCCTAGTGTACAGTACACAACCCTGTGCACTTAAAAGAACCCACGAATCCGTTGGTATATGACCAGATGGTGGCCACATGAATACGTGCAAACACCTAGTTGCGGGTACAGCAACGTGCAGTAAACTTGGACAAAGTACTGTGACTATGTGTCCCAGTCCACCCAGCTGTGAACGGGTACCTCCAGCGTGAGAGAGAGAGAGAGAGAGAGAGAGAGGATTCTGTGTCATCCTGCCACAACTGCTGGAGATGGCTTACAGAGTTCTTTTGTCTGTCTGACCATCCCTGAATCATAGAAATCTATCTTGCAGTTGTCAATTAATTTGATATTACAAGAAAGGTAGGATACTGTATGGATGACAACTTATATGCTATATTATGACAATGAGAGAGTATAGAGGAGCTATAACTGTGCACAATGAACTGATAAAACAACAGAGCACTCCAGCCATCATTGCTAATTAATTTACTGCATTAATTACCAATATCTATTGTTGTTAATCGATATTTTTTTTCTAAGTGTGCCTTAGGGCACCAGGCAAATATTTTAGGTGTGCTTTTCAGAAATCAAGTGTGCCCACATGTTTTTAGAATAAATGACTGTAGCAAGGATGATGATCTTTTGAAATTTATTGTCAGAAAACAACAAATGTAACCAGTTTTCCGTTATCACTGATATGTCTTCCGTTTAAGATGGCTTTCTTATGTTTCATTTGTTCTGCTTTCCCAACACCTTTAATAGCTAAGAATTGTGTGAGAGGTTCACATTTTTCAGTATATCTAACATACACTATTTCCTCTTCAATAACTGAACTATCAGTACTCCCAACACTCTAAATGAAAACACAACCAGATTTCTTTACATGAACCATCATAATTCCAGTGATTTCCTGGGTGATAAAGTCAATAAATGTTTTCGCTTGGTTGTCATTTGCATAAGTGTTTTGTTTGGTTATTAAGTAACTAAAGGTGTGTAATGTCTCTAAAAAATTAGGCGTGCCATAAGGGCACTGAGAACATTTTTTATCCGTGCCATTTCGATATTTACCGTGCCATGGCACACTAATATATGGGGTATTTCAACCCTGTACTGATGTACTACTATTAGATGAGCCACCGACCTGACAAATGACCCCAATTTGCATATATGGAACGCCTCCAGAACATTCCATTTGAAAATGAGGGAAACAGGTTGTCGCCCTAAAACTTGAACAGTTCAATTTCCTCGTATGCGAATCATGTTTTGATTGTTATATCATACTAACTAAGTATGGTGGGGTAGTCTAGTGGTTAAAGCTCTCTAAACCCGGTATTGGTGGGACCGGCGAAAAATGCAGGTATAGAGGGCGTGCTGGTTTAGAGAACGTTTCCCTTTTCATCCTGAGAATGATCTTCCGTGTGCCGCTTTGAACTGAATAGCTTTCTCTTTCAAAATAAGGCCAGAAATGGGCATGTGTTTAATGCAGGTAGTCAAAAACCAATCATGTGTCAGTGTGTTAATTTTGTGAAATTTACTGTTTTCATTCACCCGACAATTAATTTATAATACAAGTGACACGTGTCACTCACCAATTTACCTGGCCTACTTAGATCTAATCCTTATCCATACTCCTTTTATCAGACAACATCAATGTACTTAATGCTTAATCAGCCAATCAACAGGAGAGCAGAGATATCGGATGTCGGTTTGGAGAGCATTAATTACTGTACAAACAGTCAATTGGGCGGTCTTTGTTGTGCCGAAATACGGAATAGACTGACGCCAGATTAGAGGGCGTGTAAATGATCATAAATTAACTAACTTCTGCCAGGACCAAATTCTATTGCCGATATTGAGAGCATGCCGGATTGGAGGGCTGTCGGTTTAGAGGGCTTCCATTATAAATGTATTAATCATAATATGAATGACTACTACACTGCATCAGAAAGTTGTTCATGTTCATCAAACTGATTTCAGCACTGAGATTGTCATACTTTAACATAAGTTTACTGAAGTCATCATGCTTTGTGGAGCAGGACCCTGGATCCACAATGTCTATGGAATCGGTAATTGCCAACCATGATTCCACTGATGTCTTTCAGTGGCATTTAGAAGTTGTACATTGATGTCAAGATATTTTTATGGATTAAACTTCTTTATAATTTCCCTCACGATAGCGTTTGAGACCATTCCAGGTCCTTTCATCAGGTGAACTGACAACATCATAGTCCCAACTGTCAGTTCACCTGATGAAGGGACCTGGAATGGTCTCGAAACGTCGTGAGGGAAATTATAAAGAAGTTTAATCCATAAAAATATCTTGGACATGATTCCACTGTCCCGAACTTCTATATACTTACTGTCTACCTACATTGCAGGCGTACTCCTCCCTCTACAGAGTTTCTATGGAATTGGTAATTCTGAAGCCGGACTCATTCAGACATCCTTTATCTGCACATACATGGTCTTCTCTCCGATATTCGGTTACCTTGGCGACAGATACACCAGGAAATACATCATGGCATTTGGCATCTTCATGTGGTCTGTGTTCACCCTCTCTGCATCCTTCATTGGCAAAGATGTAAGTTGAAGACGTTACATTGTTTACAGCAACGAGAAGATCGTAACTCCCAAACTTATATTCATGGCACAAGAACCTGGGAAAGATCCGGGTTAGAATTAACTCTTCAGTAACCCATCCTTGTCATAAAAGGCGACTAACGGGATCGGGTTGTCAGGATCGCTGACTTGGTTGACACGTCATCGTATCCCAATTGCGTAAATCGATGCTCATACTGTTGATCACTGGATTGTGTGGTCCTGACTCGATTATTTACAGACCGCCGCCATATAGCTGGAATATTGCTGAGTGTGGCATAAAACAACAATCAAACAAATCATGGAAAAAGTTCACTTAGTGGATTAGGATCTCAGTCCAGAAATTGATCTTAGCACAATGATGATCGTACTGTAAATGTAAAGGAGTGATGTCATTTTATCATGTAACTTTCTGGACTAAAACCCTGATCTAGTCAGTAGCAAGATGTCAAATAAATATTATAATAGAATAAGTCTCTATTTATGTCTTGAGAAATGTACTGTATAATTAGTCCTGCATATTAAATTCTCTTTTCACTGGTTCTACAAGTGACAGAAAAACCTTGTTGAAATAGACTCAGGTTGAAGATCTGACAATGCTAACGTTGAAATCTGAAAAAAACTTTACTGTCTATGCTTTGAAATTTCTTCCCGTATTTGGTAGTAAAAGAATCTTACTAATTAAACCTATAATTTGCAAATTAACATGATCAAGCAGATATGTTGAACATTTATTTTGTACACACTGCCAAAGATTAGTATTTAATGTAATTAAATGTAATTACATTAAAGATTGATGAACAGCCAATTCTTTCAAATCACTATCCAAATTACTCTCCTGTAAACCAGTCAAATGACATATCAGTTACAGTGAAATGAAAGAATCATGTGTTTTTAACTGTTTTGAGTAAGGACAAAACTTCATGGATGAACAACTTCTTTATATGGATGATGCGACATTTCGATACAGATTCTTGTATCGTTGTCAAGCAAGTATACCATACAAGAATCTGTATCGAAATGTCACGTCATCCGAATAAAGATGTTGTTCATCGATAAAGTTTTGTCCTTAAATATTCTCCAACTTCTAAACATGCGACTCAAAGAAGTTATTTTGAGTAGTATATTTTAATGCTTAATTATCTTCACTATGTCTTCTTAACGAAAAACATTTCACTATATTTTTATGTGGAATCATGGGTAAAATGTGCTTATTTTCTAATGTGTCATTGGATTTAATATCGAGATGTTCTGCGTTATTTACATAATATTGTATTCGAAACTTGAAATGCTGTTGTCCATGGATAAAATGTGCTTATTTTCTAATGTGTCATTGGATTTAATCCTGAGATGTTCTGTGTTATTTACATAATATTGAAATCGAAACTTGAAATGCCGTTGTCATACCACTACTTATACTTGCAGTCATTCTATGCGTTTGTGTTGCTGCGAGCACTGGTGGGTATCGGTGAAGCTAGCTACTCCACAATCGCCCCCACCATCATCGCTGACTTGTTCTCCAAAGGAATGAGGACAAAGATGCTGATGGTGTTCTACTTTGCCATCCCTGTTGGAAGGTAAGGGGAGGTAACCCCATTCTCTTCCCACAGAGGTTACTGGTCATTTCTTCTTACGAACCTCTGTTCTAATACGGTCATATTTTCCGGTTCTCGTAAAATCCCCTAGCGGCAAAAAAACGCAACACGAATTATCTCCCTTCTTTCTGTCCAATCAGAACACGTGTTACATCAACTTGACTAATACAAGCAAATGTTGGGTCACAAATATCCCTCCTCTGCCAGGAACCTGTGTTGATGTGACACACAAGACATTTAATGGTTAGCATAGCCGTTGTCAACGAGGGCGATGGAGACGCCATTGATCCGCCATTTACATGACTGAGTTCTGTCTATAAGAAACGTTTGCGCATCGCGCAGGGAAAGAGGTTCTAGTTTTCCCGAAGCATACGGAAATAACCGAGGCCTTGCGAATGAGCACTTTTGAAACAACGTCGCTGATTTCACAACTAAATCTGATTGCAACCAATCACAAATCCTGAACACTCGCACCATTAAAGGGCCGTATTAGAACAGAGGTTCGTAGGAATGTATGACAAGTAACCTCTGTGGGAAGAGAATGAGGTAACTCATGCCTAACAAAAATATTCAATTAAACCTTCCATCTTGTAACAGTGTATGTATCTCTGAATGATGTGTATGTAAACACAATAATTGGTGCAAATGTTTGAAATTATTTGTGATGGTAATAGCAAAGAAAATTTATTCTATTCTCAAATTAAGCTAATTGTGCAAGTTCAATCTAATGCCTGTACCTACTCTGTTTTTCAGCGGCATGGGCTATATTGTTGGGTCCTACGTCGCGAGTGCATTGCACAACTGGCAGTGGTCACTTCGGGTATGTTGGATCTTCTTCATCTTCGCTTTAACAATTTGCAAATGCTGTACAACACCGTGTAAGTCAGAACATCGACAGCCGACAAGACCACCTCTAACACAGAGATATTGATATGAAGTCAGGTGGATCCTATATATATTCAGGTGGCTCCAATCTTTTGCTAACACTGCTTTTGTTGTACCAGGCGATACAAACCCTCTGAATTACCCGTGTTTAGTTGATTCAAGTATTGTGGGTTTTTGTTTTCCCTTTCAGCCCCAGTGCTTTGTTTAGTTATATTCTAGTGTTGTGTTCTAGGTATCACAAAGCCTCTGTGCTTTGTTTAGTTATATTCTAGTGTTGTGTTCTAGGTATCACAAAGCCTCTGTGCTTTGTTTAGTTATATTCTAGTGTTGTGTTCTAGGTATCACAAAGCCTCTGTGCTTTGTTTAGTTATATTCTAGTGTTGTGTTCTAGGTATCACAAGCCTCTGTGCTTTGTTTAGTTATATTCTAGTGTTGTGTTCTAGGTATCACAAAGCCTCTGTGCTTTGTTTAGTTATATTCTAGTGTTGTGTTCTAGGTATCACAAAGCCTCTGTGCTTTGTTTAGTTATATTCTAGTGTTGTGTTCTAGGTATCACAAAGCCTCTGTGCTTTGTTTAGTTATATTCTAGTGTTGTGTTCTAGGTATCACAAAGCCTCTGTGATTTGTCTTATGCGGTCAGGTTGCACCAGGCCTTGGTGCGCTGTGTGAAGTGTTCGTTCTAGTGCTATGTTTAAGGTTACACCTGGCTCAGGTTTTCTGTCTAGTGTTGTGTTCTTTGTGTTGCGAATGTAGACTTATTGCTAAAATGTAGGCTGGTCTTTCTGGAGACTAGAGACAATTACCCACTTTAGTACAGTGTGTGAAGCCCATTTCTGATAGTGTGATATTGCATAAATATTGTGTGTAACCACACTCACTCACTCACTCACTCCTTTGTGTTCCAGGTCACTCCCGGTCTGGGTGCTGTGTGTGTAGTGTTGATTCTAATTTTCTGCAAGGAACCCCCACGAGGACACTCAGAGGGGGGAACACATCTTGTCAACACAAGCTTTTTAGAAGACATAAAAGCTCTAGTAAAAAAGTAAGATTATCTTTGCCTGTTTGTTAATCATGTCATTTGAGGATGCTGTAAATAGGATATTCCATCAACCATGTTACTATCATTTTGAGAGTATTTCATCCTCTTATTTTTTTATATGCATAAATCAACAGAAGTTTCACCTCATTTGATAAATGTTGTTTGATGTCATAAGTCATACATCTGAAGTTCTGTGTAATGTCCAAAATTATTTTTCCAACTGTTTCCAGTTTGTATAACTCCAGGTGACTGCTGGGGCTGTGGGGTAGCCTAGTGGTTCAAGCGTTCACTTGTCACGCCGAAAACCCGGGTTCGATTCCCCTCATGGGAACAATGTGCAAAGCCCATTTCTGGTATCCCCCGCTGTGATATTGCTGGAATATTGCTAAAAGCGGCGTAAAACTTCACTCACTCACTCACTCACCAGATGACTGTTGGGGCTGTGTTCACTATTGTTTCAGGTTACACACTGTTGCAAACTCCACACTACTGCAATAGTATTTCCTCTAATAAGAGCCTGGGCGTTTATTTTTTCAACAGACTTCTCGACCCAGCCCTTATTAGAGGCCCTTAAGCCTAAGCTTACTGGGTGTAATGTAATTGTTAGTGAGCTACTAAACCCTGAGCTGCGTATTAGAGGTAGCCGGCCCTGGAAATATGGTACATAGTTGCAAGAGGCATCCTAACACATTCATTGTAAGGAAATATGGTAGATGGCAATTGTGATGTAGCTAAGACATTCATTGTATGTTGCAGATGCAGATGGCAGATTGTGATGTAGCAGATGGTGATTGTGATGTAGCAGATGGTGATTGTGATGTAGCAGATGGTGATTGTGATGTAGCAGATGGTGATGTAGTGATGGTGTGAGCAGATGGTGATGTGATGTAGCAGATTGTGATGTAGCAGATGGTGATTGTGATGTAGCAGATGGTGATTGTGATGTAGCAGATGGTGATTGTGATGTAGCAGATGGTGATTGTGATGTAGCAGATGGTGATTGTGATGTAGCATTGTGATGTAGCAGATGGTGATTGTGATGTAGCAGATGGTGATTGTGATGTAGCAGATGGTGATTGTGATGTAGCAGATGGTGATTGTGATGTTTTGTTGCAGCACCAGTTTTATGTTCTCGACGGCTGGCTTCACCTGCGTGGCCTTCGTGACGGGAGCTCTGGCCTTCTGGGCCCCCACGTATATGACGGATGCTATAGAATCTCAAAGTCAGACAGTGGAAATGTCACAGTAAGTTCTACCACTCTACACTTCAGGAATGAAATCGCCAGAAATTCCATTTTTGATAGAATACGCTGTCTTTTTTTAGTAAATCAACAAGTTTTAGGTCACATGTTAGTATAAACCCCATACCCATTTATGCTTGTAGACCTTACAGATTATTTTCTTTGAGTGGTATTTTAGAAGTTGTGACATACAATAGTGAACAAACTTTATGGATAACAACTTCTCTTCCTCTTAATGTTACATTCCTGCTTGACAACGGTATAAGAATCAGTATCGAAATTTCGCACTCACGTAATAAAAGAAGTTGTTATCCATAATGATTGTTCAATCTTACAGGTTATTGACATTTGCAAAAGAAAGTGTCCCCCTGATGTGTCTAATATTATATTTATTGTGCCAAAAAATTCTGAAATGTTGAAACAACGAGGGGGAATTTTTCTTTGATTTTCTAATAATAATATCAGTAGCTAAATTTTTACGGATCATACAGTTTATGATGCACTTGCTCCCTTCCTTCTGGGTAATAATGTCATATGTATGATAATGACAAGGAAAATGTCATGCATTGGGACTTTTGAACATATATATAATAAATAGATTAATTGATTCCTGTTCTTCTTTCAGCGTGTCACTAATATTTGGAATTATCACAGTAGCTGCTGGGTTTATTGGTGTGGCTCTGGGGGCAGAGACAGCGAGGAGATACAAGAAAATAAATCCCCGATCTGATCCCATCATTTGTGCAATGGGACTATTGTGCTCTTCGCCGTTCCTCTTCTTCGCCCTTGTCCTGGCCAATTACTCAACACCAGCAACATGGGTGAGTAGTCAGCTGCAGTTATCTCCCTTGGCACACTGGGGAATGAAGCTCCTTACAGTGGCAGTTGGTTTTTGGAGCTGTCCAGAATATTCCACCAGTCATAGTGATGCCCGTTTGTTGAACTCTCTATACTATTGCAGCCAGTAGTCAAAACTGGTTGGATGATGTCATGTTCAAACAATGAAACACTGTGACATTGTATGCCAAGTGACCAACCGACATTGAGAATCGCTGACATGGCGTGCAAATGTGGAGATATGGGAAGTTATTACACATGATCATTCTACCCTCATGGAGTGTCAGGAGAGCGGAAGGTCGCTGGTTCGATCCCCGACCGCGTCATACCAAAAGACGTTAAAATATGGTACTTGTTGGTCCCTGCCTGGCGCTCAGCATTAATGGGTACATCAAGGACTGGTCAGCTCGGAGTCAGTATAATGTGTCTGAGTGGGGTATTCATGCTTCACTGCGGCATGGTATCTCAGTGGGCTAGCACTATAAAACCAGCTTAAAGTCTGGGCTAGTACAAACAGCCGCAAAACACATACACACGCATGCACGTCGTCATATGAGCGAAATATTCTCAAGCATGACGTAAAACCCAATTTCACCTCACCTCATGGAGTGTCAGTTGGGTAGCCTAGTGGGTAAAGCGTTTGCTCATCAAGCCGAAGACCCGGGTTCGATTCCCCACATGGGTACAATGTGTGAAGCCCATTCTGGTGTCCCCCAGCTGCGTAAGATTATCTCGCTCTAAACTCATTGATCTGCTTTTTTGAATGTCAAACCATTCTTTTGACCCACATGAAAGAATTGGAATAAAATGTATTCAGAAGTTTAATGGGCACTATTAACTTTACGCTGTCAATAAATCTAATGATTTTAGAACTTTAATTGTGGCAGAAGTAATCAATTTGATGCTTTTTAACCACAAAATATTGCTGATGTTTCAGGTGCTAATATTCCTTGGGGAGACGATGCTGTGTATGAACTGGGCAATTGTCACAGATATTTTATTGGTAAGTAATTAAATTGTGACTAGACTTTGCACTTCATGCTATACTGACTCAAGACATCCATGATTGCAGAGTATCTGCCTGAAGATCATGCGTTAGAAGTAACTGTTCTTACACACATGCACACACACACACGCACGCACGACGCATGCACCCACCACACACACACACTCACACTCACACAGAAAGGATGAATGGATGGATGCAAACACATGCACAGAAAGGATGGATTGATTGATTGATTGTTGGATTAGATTGTTTGGTTGAAAGATTGGATTGATTGAAAGGATTGATTGAGGGATTGTCTGATTGATTGAGGGATTGTCTGATTGATTGAGGGATTGTTGGATTGATTGAGGATTGTTGGATTGATTGAGGGATTGATTGGGGATTGATTATGTTGGATTGATTGAATACATTGTTAAAATCTTTAGAACATATTGTCAAAAAATAGAACACTGATTAATATTAATCTTATCTTACATGGCAATGCAGGTCTCTCAATTGACAACCAGAATGAATGTACATATCTATATCTCTGCTTTCTCAGATCTTGTACATATCCTAGCCTGTCTGTCAGTGTACTTTGTTGTAAGATAAATTGGTAATTATCTGGAAAGGGCTTTTCTAAGTTGGATAACTTGTGCCCAATCCTTTTCTTGAATGAATAAAATATGTTTAAAACAAATTGTTGGATTGATTGAGGGATTGATTGAGGGAATGTTGGATTGAATGTTGGATTGATTGAGGGAATGTTGGATTGAATGTTGGATTGATTGAGGGATTGATGGATTGATTGAGGGATTGATTGAGGAATTGTTGGAATGTTGGATTGAATGTTGGATTGATTGAGGGATTGATTGAGATTGATGGATTGATTGTTGGATTGATTGAGGGATTGTTGGATTGAATGTTGGATTGATTGATTGTGGAAGTAAATCATCTGGTGATGCAAGCCATGATTGCCTAAATCCTAGTCATCACAAAACTGATGTCTTGTGTTGGCGTCTTTCAGTATGTAGTTATACCAACAAGAAGATCAACAGCTGAGGCCTTCCAGATCCTTGTATCTCATGCTCTTGGGGACGCCGGCAGCCCCTACCTTGTGGGAAAGGTGAGCCATGTTTTTTATGGTAAAATTTCTTTTCAGCCCATAATTTACATCAATATTTTCACAAAGATTGTAATCTGTTCACTCAGGCCAAAACTTCACCTTGAGTGAAACATTGAAACTTGTCACCACACATGTTAAAATAAAGTTTTGATGTGGAGAAATGTTTTGATTGAGGGTTTAAATCATGGTTTGCCCCAATTATGTTTCTAGGTTTGTCAACATCTTTAATATACCATACAAAAAAGTAGGGGATATTGGATTTACAAGATTGATAAAATGCAAATGATGAAGCCAAGGAGGAAACAGATGATGAAAAGAAATTAAGGGAAAATATGACAATTTATTCCATTCCTTTGGAAATGTTTCATCTGTATGGATATATATTACTTTTCTCATGCATTGGCATTGGCTAGTGGTATGCTTGCAAAATGGAATATTCCCTACTTTTTTATAATGGTATACTATAGCTATTTGTTTTCACCAAAGTGGTTAACGCCTGAGCAGATATGATATGATTTACCTTGAATACTGTTTAAAGGGACATTATACCCAACTCATCGTTCTATCTTCAATCCTCTTACACTGAAACAGAACATGTCTCTCCACAAGGTCAATATATAGAGTTACCTTCCCTTATCGTAATTAGAGTAACCTTCCCTACTTTATTTCTAAGGGACTATTCATAATTTATGGGTAGGGGGTGATGATGATTTTTATGGAGAAGCATGTACAATGTGAATGACCCCACCTAAAATTTATGCACAAAGTAAGTGACCCCTCTGTTTCAGAGCCCTGTTTGTGCTGACCACCCTGCCTCCCCAGAACAAATGGGTACCCAAAATCATCCCATCCACCTAGCTCTCCTTTTAAGCATTTTTTAATGTTTCTATGTAACATATTTCTGTACTATACATGACTTACTCCGTGGTGTAGTGGTTTGCATCTCCCCAGAACAAAGTGGGTGATCCCCAACCACCCTTAAAAAATCATCCCATTAATGGGTACAACCCCCGGAGTCAGTATAAGCCATAAATCTCAGTTGAACATTCAGTCTGGGCCTACACACCACATGTCATAACATATATTCTCTGTACTCTTACAGTACTCTTAAAAAATATGTTTGCTTTTCTGTGACAGGTGTCGGATGCTCTCAGTACAAGTTTCCATGGAGATCCGAAGAGTCCCGCAGTACAGTTCCTGTCATTACAGTATGCACTGTACTCCACTGCCTTCGTCTGTGTTCTGGGAGGTGGCTTTTTCCTCGCCACTGCCCTCTTTGTAGAAGAAGACAAGGGTAAAGCCGATCGGCAAATTAGAGGTGAGTTCTGTCAGAATAACTAAGTTGAATGCGATTGTAAATCCAGTATGAAACTGCTGTGTAATTGTTGTGATCTAACAGAGTGATTTAACCTCATAAGTATTTTGATGTTTGACCCGTTAGTTGTCTATAATACTATGTTCTTAGATTATTAGGGCACAGAATAGACATGAAATGGGGTTTTTTAATGGTTGATTTGAGGTTTTCATCAATTCTGAAATCGAAGTTGGTGTTAAGATTTTTTTCACATTTTTGTCCAAACAAAAATTACTTTGAATGATCAGATCTCTATGTTATTGTCGGCTTTAAATTTGATTAAGTGATTTTATCCCTAAATCAGACACTTTTTGATGAATGTGCATTCTAAATGTTCCCTTCATAAACCAAGTGTTGCAACGGTTATAAGTAATGATAATTCATAAGTTGTTGGGGGCCGTGGGGTAGCCTAGTGGTTAAACCGTTCGCTTGTCACGCCCAAGACCTGGCTTTGATTCCCCACATGGGTACAATGTGTAAAACCCATTTCTGGTGGTCCCCCCTCTGTGATATTGCTGGAATGTTGCTAAAATCGCTGTAAAACCAAACTCACTCACTCTAAAGTTGTGGTATCATTTATTAATTGTTGTGACCTTTATATGTCAGGATGTGCTGGTTTGGGGATTTGGTTTGATTCATTCTCCTTGCGATCAGAGCTCCAATAAGCTATTCAATAAATATGCATGAAACACGTTTAAAAATTCAATGGTATAAGAACACTATAGGAACCTGAAGTGGCTTTTGATTTCTGGCCTCTATTTCTTGACAGCATTTAAATGCCTTTTGAATTCAGACTTCAGATTGACAGTAATTCTCCTTAAGTAAATAATGCACTCATTACCACCTGAAATGACTTTTGATCACAATTATGTTAAAATTTTGTTATCATTGGTCCACATTTACTCAAAAGTCCAAGATAGTAAAAATATTGAGTACCTAAAGATTACTATAAATACCCTATGTAAGTTATAACATTTGAGGAAATACTCAACTACAATTGTCTGAAGCCCTGTGTGAACATGAATTTTCTGAAAGATTTTGCCAGTGTGTCAACCATGTCCGACTTGACTTTCACTTTTGTCGCTCTTCGCTGATTCACTTGAACATGCTGAAATGGAATGGCATACTCTGTTATCTTGTGCATGATGTTTTGTTTGATCGATCATGTGTGATACTTTCTCCAGAGTTGGCATGAATCCTGTATGTGATGTTATGTGTGCCAGATGTGCTTGTGTCATTGAGGTTTTCAGCACTTAGTCCATGTATTGTTCCAGTCCAGCACAGGATCCATGTAGATATATCATTCAGTCTCAGGATACATCACCTGATCCAGTCCATCACCCTGTCTCAGTCCATGTAGCAGTCCATCACACTGGATCAGTCCATCACCCTGTATCAGTCCATGTGTCAGTCCATCACCCTGTATCAGTCCATGTATCAGTCCATCACCCTGTATCAGTCCATCACACTGTATCAGTCCATCACCCTGTATGTATCAGTCCATCACCCTGTATCAGTCCATCATCATGTATCAATCCAGTATCCATCCATCACACTGTATCAGTCCATCACCCTGCAGTCCATGTGTCAGTCCATCACCCTGTATCAGTCCATGTCTCGGGTCCATCACACTGTATCAGTCCATGTATCGGGTCCATCACACTGTATCAGTCCATCACCCAGTCTCAGTCCATGTATCAGTCCATGTATCAGTCCATCACCTGTATCAGTCCATGTATAGTCCAGTCCATCACCTGTATCAGTCCATGTATCAGTCCATGTATCAAGCCATCACCTGTATCAGTCCATGTATCAGTCCATCACCCTGTATCAGTCCATGTATCAGTCCATCACCCTCTATCAGTCATGTATCAGTCCATCACCTGTATCAGTCCATGTATCAAGCCATCACCTGTATCAGTCCATGTATCAGTCCTGTATCAGTCCATGTATCAGTCCATCCATGTATCAGTCCATCACCCTGTATCAGTCCATGTATCAGTCCATCACCCTGTATCAGTCCATGTATCAGTCCATCACCCTGTATCAGTCCATGTATCAGTCCATCACCCTGTATCAGTCCATGTATCAGTCCATCACCCTGTATCAGTCCATGTATCAGTCCATGTATCAGTCCATCACCCTGTATCAGTCCATGTATCAGTCCATCCACTGTATCAGTCCATCACCCTGTATCAGTCAGTCCATCACCCTGTATCAGTCCATGTATCAGTCCATGTATCAGTCCATCACCCTGTATCAGTCCATGTATCAGTCCATGTATCAGTCCATCACCCTGTATCAGTCCATGTATCAGTCCATCACCCTGTATCAGTCCATGTATCAGTCCATCACCCTGTATCAGTCCATGTATCAGTCCATCACCCTGTATCAGTCCATGTATCAGTCCCACCCTGTATCAGTCCATCACCCATCACCCTGTATCAATCCATGTATCAGTCCATCACCCTGTATCAGTCCATCACCCTCCATCAGTCATGTGTCAGTCCATCACCCTGTATCAGTCCATGTATCAGTCCATCACCCTGTATCAGTCCATGTATCAGTCCATCACCCTGTATCAGTCCATCACCCTGTATCAGTCCAGTCCATGTATCAGTCCATCAGTCCATCACCTGTATCAGTCATGTATCAGTCCATCATCAGTCCATGTATCAGTCCATGTATCAGTCCATGTATCAGTCCATCAGTCCATGTATCAGTCCATCACCTGTATCAGTCCATCCAGTCCATGTATCAGTCCATCACCTGTATCAGTCCATGTATCAGTCCATCACCCTGTATCAGTCCATGTATCAGTCCATCACCCTGTATCAGTCCATGTATCAGTCCATCACCTGTATCAGTCCATGTATCAGTCCATCACCCTGTATCAGTCCATGTATCAGTCCATCACCCTGTATCAGTCCATGTATGAGTCCATGTATCAATCCATGTATGAGTCCATCACCCTGTATCAATCCATGTACCAGTCCATGTATCAGTCCATGTATCAATCCATGTATCAGTCCACCACCCTGTATCAATCCATGTATCAGTCCATCACCCTGTATCAGTCCATCACCCTGTATCAATCCATGTATCAGTCCATCACCCTGTATCAATCCATGTATCAGTCCATCACCCTGTATCAGTCCATGTATCAGTCCATGTAGATGTATCAGTCCATGTAGATGTATCAGTCCATCACTCCATCAGTCCACTGTGGCTCAGTGCATGCATGTGTCCAAGCATCAGTTTATCAGTTTTCTCCCAACCAATATCGCTGTTGTGCCTGCAGGATCGGTGGACTCGAGTTTTGATGACGTAGAAGAGGTTGACGAAGTACAGATAGAGAGGTCACTGGATGCTTTCCCCTGAAATGTATATTTTACCTGTCCTTATACCTTCACCCTTTATCACTTAGAACACTAACACTACTTACATTGTTGGCAGAGATACTCACAGTTAGAATATGTGCAACTTCTTGAATTCATCATTTAATGCATATTTTCAGTTAATTGACAGTTCTCATGATGAACGCATTGTATATAAGACATGTAAATATCAACATTATAACAATCACAAAATATCTTGGATGTCAAAGTATCGTGCTGTTTGAGTATGCCTTCAATATATTAATAACAGTCTTTCCAATATATATTCCTACTAGCATACTAACTATGATATAGTTCCATGATAGAGTTCTATGTGTTCTACATACTAATCTTCTTTTGCTGTGTTCATAACCATGGTAACTGGTAGGTAAAATATAACAGATTTGACAGATATGATACTTGGTTTGTGTTTGGTTAACAAAATAGTTGCAGGATATTTAGACAGGCAATCATATAACTTCTCATCTCATAAGCTGATCAGAGAAAAGATGATAGATACATGCTTAAAAAAGGTGCAGCTACCATTGAAAATGCCAACTTATGGGCGACGTAGTTGACAAGTGAAGTAAACGTTGTATTTGTTATGCAATTTACCTGAATGTCAATTTGTATACTACACAAAAGACGTTAAAGAACATCTGGGTTTTTCAAAGTATATTGTTAATCTGCCATCTCCGCAACAGAAATGAACAAAATCAGGTGTTCTTAACTTTTGAGTATTATATACTGACATTACTTGCAGTAATAGTATTACTCAGGGGAATAGTATATCTTTATTTTGTATAAATGTTGCATTTTGTAGGAACAATCTGAAAGTTTTAGATAGCAACAATATGATTATTATAAAAATATATAACATTGTATTTGTTGAAAAAGCTTTGATGCATGAAGCAGGCTGTCCCTTCTGCAGCTTTCATTGTATAAGCATGCATGACTATTGTTGCTTTGTGTGTTGTTGTTTTGTTGTGTCAGTTTCCACGTGTATTCCAGTTGAGGTGATGGAATAATGATGATTAGTCTTAGTATGATGATAGCAGAAATCCGAGACTGGACCAACCAGGGTGAATCTTTGCCAAACTGACCTGACACCATTTTGCAAAGTGATATCAGTAATACGATGCTGTGTTTGACAATGGAGTTCAGATCATTGCAGCACTGACATCACTTTGGTCATGGCCTTGGGTCCTTGTTATAAAGTGATCATTAGGCTGTTTGAATATTTTTCTGTGTTTCTGAAGTCCCGCCCACCCTAAATTGTCATGACATGAAATCATAAAATGTTTATTTACCCAATTTACCCTGCAGCTGTGGGAAGTTTTGCCCTGATGTGATACAAAAATACCGTATTTCCTCTAATAAGCACCTGGGAGCTTATTTTTCAACAGACTTCCAAACCTGGCCCTTATTAGAGGCCAGTTGCTTTTGTGCTTCCTTGGTGTAATTACTGTAATTGTTAGTGAGTTGCTTTACCCTCTGCGCTTGTTAGTGGCCCGGCGCTTCTTAGAGACCTGTCGCATATTAGAGGAAATATGGTACTCTCCTAAAAAGTTGAACTTGATCTACCCGTGATGGTCCGGGTTAGAATGAGCCGATCGGGTGGTAAGGCCCGCTAGCTTGGTTGACACATGTCATCACCAATTGCGCAGATCGATGCTCATGCTGTTGATCACTGGATTGACTGGTCCAAACTCGATTATTTACAGACCGCCGCCATATAGCTGGAATATTGCTGAGTTTGGTGTAAAACTAAACTCACTCACTCACTCACTCAACTTGAACTTTCTTCATTTATTAAAATTTCTTCAAAGAAGTTTTACACAATTAGTGAAAATCCTTTTTTTTTTGTATTTTATTTTCTTTTCTTTTTTTCTTGCTGGTTTAGGATGGACTTGAGAAACACATAAAAATATAGTTGTCTTTATAGTAGTCACAACTACAACTGCTACCACATAATGGGGTAGGCTGGTGGTTAAATCATTCATGCTTCACTCGCGCATGGTATCTCTGCTAAAACCAGCTTAAGTCTGGGCTTGGGTTTGATTACCCATTATGTGAACTAGCACCAGATATTGCTGTAGTATTGCTAAAAGCAGTGTAGAACAAGAAACAAAATATATTACAAATTTCTCAAACTTAAAAAGTAAATACATTCTTTTTTAAAAGTTAGCAGAACTAGGTCAGTAAGGATTTGTGAATTCTTGTGATTTTATGAGTGCTTTAGTGTTGAATTTGTCTTACTTTCAATGCTTGAAACTTTACACATTGTCAATATTTCACACACTATTGTTTGAGTAGAAAAGCTCCACTATAAATCTCGTGCCCCATATCAACAGTGTCTCAGATAAACCTCAAACAAACTGCTAAATGTGCCTCTTTTGGTGATATATTGTATACATCTGTTGCTCCAGAATCAAGCTCATTCAGATCCGATCTCAAAACATTTCTTTGACAAAAATATCTTTTTTTTGTGTTTTTATGCGCTTTGAACTTGCTTAGGCTTGGAGTTGGGCTACGTAATGAAACGTATTATGACTGTTTTGTTGGTTTGTTGTTTAATGCTGCACTCAGCAGTATTCCAGCTATATGGCGGCGGTCTGTAAATAATCAAGTCTGAACCAGACAATCCACTGATCAACAGCATGAGCATAAATCTACGTAATTGGGATACGATGACATGTCAACCAATACAGCAAGCCTGACGACCTGATCCCGTTAGTCACATCTTACTGACAAGCATGGGTTGCAGAAGACTTAATTCTAACCCCAGATCTTCATGGGTCTATTATTAACGTAGTCAATAATCTCATAACAATAATAATAGTCCATTTATTATGCGCATTGCTCCATATACAATGCATGCTCGAAGCCCCCAAGACTGCCGCCATATAGCTGGAATATTGCTGAGTGGCGTAAAACTAAACTCACTCACTCACTAGAAGCCCCCAAACAATCTGATTATTATTACCCTGGATAACCCAGGTTGCCTGTTAGGCACCAGAGAGTTATAGTCACATGACTTATCCCACCAGGTACCCATTTTCTGCAGGGTGAACAGAGGCATTTTTTAACAAACTTACTTGCCTAAGGTGAGACCTCATGTTTACATGTGCTTCATTGTGGGGCAGGACTGACACAAACACAGTCTGAGTCAAATTTGGTCTTCCATGCTTGCCATAAAAGGCAACTAACAGGATCGGGTCGTCAGGCTCATTGACTTTACATGTCATCCTATCACAAATGTGTAGACCAGTGCTCATGACATCAGTCACTGGATTGTCTGGTCCAGACTCAAGTATTTACAGACCGCTGTCATGTAGCTTGAATATTACAGAGTAAACATTAAACAAACAAACAATAGATACACATTTTCTCCAATATATTATGGATAACAGAGGAAAGTGGGTATTGAATCCTGTGAAGTATTGACGATGTTCTATCCACTGTGTCTACTCTGCTCTACTCTATTGTATAATGATATTCTCTAGAAGTGCTATCTATAGTGCCTGGCTGTCCACATTGATCATAAACATTGATAATCATGAACTGAACATATAGTCTGTTTGCGGTGAAAACGTACCGATGAATTTCACTTTCAACAAAAAAGTAAATCAAATAAAGTGAAATTAAGATTGCGAATCCTCATCATTTTACCTTGCCATTTGAAAATTTAAATCTCAGAATTTTATTCAACTTGGGATGAAAGTTGTTTAACAAACGATCATAGTTTCAAATCGGTATTATTGGTTTGTATTACAAGGGGGTATGCACATTAAATGAAACACCGAGATCAAGTAGGGTTGGTCTAAGTTAACGCTCATCACGTCCCGCACGTGCATTTGTTTCACTGTTCCAACTACTGCGCTTACCCCCTTGTAATACAAACCAATATAAGCGATTTGAAACTATGATCGTTTGTTAAACAACTTTTTTCATAAGTTGAATAAAAATCTAAGATTTAAATGTTCAATTGGCAAGGTAGAATTATGAGGATTCGCAATCTTAATTTCACTTTATTCGATTTACATTTTTGTTTAAAGTGCAATTCACCGGTACGTTTTCACTGCAAACAGACTATAATTTGTCGATGAAATTCGGAGACCTAGCTTCATTTCCAAAAGAAATAAAAATATTCAATCATATGCATCCCTTTGAGCAGTGATGAGTGGTGCAACATATATTCATGAATTGTTAAGAAAAACATTATTTATATGCAGCTGAATAATAAAGACCTAACTTTGTGCACTTGTTTGTGTAAATTAAAAGTATATTTCTTCACAATTTGTCAGGTAAATCATTATCGATGACTCCATTTGCAGAACAATAATTGCAACGGATTCTTTCCATAAACCGTATATCCGATTCCTTGTTTTAGCCAACCGTAGCTATTTTCGTCAGTTTTGGTCACTCTGTGGCTGAAATAATGCTGATGCAATCTAATATCATCAAACAGAACATCAAAGTGAATATGTCAGTAATTGGTGATAAATGTTTCTCAAAATTTGCTAAGGACTGTCATCTTTACTCCAAGATGTGTTCTTTTACAATGTTGAGTAGTATAGAACTGCCAGGCTAATGTAGCATGGGCTTAGACTTTCTTGGTTCAGGTACCTATAGCCTTGCTTGTTTTAAGAGCAGATTAAGTTGAGTTTGGTGTGAATAAACTCACCACGAGGGGCGATGGGGTACAATGTGTGTCCCCTGACGTGATATTGCTGGAATATTGCTAAAAGTGGTGTAAAACCATACACACTCTCACCATGCTTCGTCTGAGACATGCTTCTTTCTTGACATTTGACCGACATGCTGTGATGTTACTGAAATAATCTTTACAGCAGCATTCCTGCAGTTCAGTCACTCAGGGATGGTGCTTATCCTATCAACCACTAGTTAGCCTGGCCCTGATATGGCTAGAGAGTAGCTGACTATAGAATGATAGGTTTAGTTTCTAACATGGTGATGGTTATCTGAATGCGAGAATCATTAGGATCATAATGAACTATCATTGGCTTTTGATAGGATCATAGACGGCAACTAGCTATGAACTTTTTATTGGCTTTCTTATATAGATAGAGGGGTCATTAAGTGTTTGCCTGTTATGCTGAAGACCCAGTTTCGATTCCCCCATGGGTACAGTGTGTGAAGCCCATTTCTGGTGTTCCACCGTAATATTGCTGGAATATTGCTAAAAGTGGCGTAAAACCATACTCACTCTCTCACTCTTCTTGAGAAACCCGACCATGATAATGTCGGAATATTTCTAGAAGAGGCGTAACATCAAACTCACACACTGTTGATAAACTCAGGGCAAAGGTGGCTCAGTTGTGATGGCGTCGCAAATCGCTATGCAGAGTTGCCTCCCTTGGGCTTGTCAGGAACCTTTGAATTTGGTAAATGTCCAAGGGCTACATCGCTTTGGGATTTCCACCCACATACAGCTAACACAAAGAGATAATACCAATTGATTACTGCAACACTGTACAAAGCTGCGTTTGGGGTGGTGGGTAGCCTAGTGGTTAAAGTGTTGGCTTATCATGCCGAAGACCAGAGTTCGATTCCCAACATGGGTACAATGTGTGAAGCCCATTTCTAGTATGCCCCTCCATGATATTGCTGGAAAATTGCTAAAAGGGTAAAACCATACTCACTCACTCACTCAAAGCTGCATTTAACCCAACCCACTCACTCATTGATAAACCAGTGGTAATGTCACAAGTACAGGTAGTAAAGATTTGTGATGATTTACTGAGAAAACGTATCATTTTCTATTTAAAATAATGAAGATTCTGTTGCAACTCAATTCTCAGTATTTTCGGTGTTGATTTCAGCGGCAGCAGAAAAAGCAGAAAGCCCTGAGGACGAAGCAGATGTTTTGCCCGAGTTCCGTGGAAGGGCTGCCTGCCAGGAACTTACATCAGTTCACATAGGACCAACCTACCCCAATACTCTCTTCATTTTCATCCACCCTGAGATCCTGCATCACTCAAGGGAAGCAACTCAACATGACAATGGAATGGCCAACTTCCCCGAGAAATATAAGCTGCTTCATGCAAGAGTGGTGACTTTAACACAGACTCTACAGCATGTCTGAGTCCTGAGGATGATGTGCCATTACTGTGTTGGTGAATGTAGTCTCCTGTTGCTGTTGAGGACTCAGATGGAGACGATAAGGGTTGGTGATCAGGTATCTCTCATTGGTTAAAGCCATTGTCGTCTCCCTGCTCAAGATATTACAATCAGAGGAAGTTTCCTTGAGGAACTAAAATACCCAGGTCTGCCCACAGGCTTACCATTTCAGATTCAGGTTCTGGGTCAAATAATTTATAACAGTGAGTTGAAAGAGTCTGGTTGTGTTGTAATATGGACCTGTGGGCCTGTCCTTGTTGAGTTAGAAATGAATCTGCCTGCTCCCTCACTGTCTAATCTCAGAGAGTGCATGTACAGTGAGTACCCGGATATCCGGACACATTCGTTTTTACGTAAATCGTCCGGATAACTGAATATCCGGATATCTGGATTTCTGTCATCCAGGCTTACCGTATATTACCGTCTATAAGCCGAATTTTGAGGATAAAAAAAGCAGTGTGTAGGAGGGGGTCGGCTATCTTCATGAGTTTCGCTTTCGTCAAGCTTTTTTCCAGGGGTAAGAAAACAACATCATATCACTTCGCGGGAACAAACAACATAAGACAACTTTGTCAGTAAAGACGTCAAATTTGCAATTAAACATCACTAGACAAGATTATTTACCTTTTAAGTTCTGAGTTGTTTTTGCTGGGCATTGTATTATTTGCAGGGATTAAGATTACCGTGTGTATTTGAGCCGGAAATAGCAAACGGAAAACCGCATATCCGTTATAGACAGTCACTTTTATAATGTAAGAGATTGTTTTTTTATGAAACTTGACCGAAAGGCGAGGTTTCCGGATATTTGGGGTCCGGGTATCTGGGGTTTCACTGTACCCTTTACTCATTCATGTTCACTGATGTTTTGTTACAGTTTCTTTAAGAATATTATCATGGGAGAAATTATTTTTACCATACTATAACAAGAGATTAAAAACGTAACTATATTCATTTTTTATCACAAATCTATTACAACCTGATCATGTGCAAATCATTATGAAATTAAAATTGAAGCTTTTTTATGGTGGGAAGTTTAAAAAATTCCAAATGACAATTTCCAAGGACTGAATACTCGATAATGCCAATAAATCTCAAGTCATTATGTGTTTATTTTGTAAATATGTCGTTAAGAAGATTATAACTGAAAGATTTAATTGTTCCGGATTAGAATCCACATTTTGTATGCTCAGGGGGCAAGGGAGGTAACTCTAAGAGTGGGAGCTGGGGTTTTCAATGTGCTTCACTGTGGAGAAGGTGGCACGAAATGAACAGACAAGTGACTGAATGAAATTGCAGAATTAACATTTACATAAAAATATCCAGAGCTTCATAAGTATGATAATACATGTTTGCACTGCACTGTTTCAAGACTCAAGGTATTGCTTCATGTACAAGTCCAAAATTTGGATGTATGCCTACAATATGCACTGTGAGTTTAATGGGATGCGAATGAATACAGCTGCCCAAATCATGAACACTTTGTCAGTTCTAGCAAGTCGATCCTTGCTATCTTTCTCATTCAGATTCAAATGGTCACCCTGTCAGATTGTCTTTGCTCAATGATGTTTTTAGACCCAAACCTTAGTTTAGGCTCAACCAAGGAAAGCCCAGTCTATAAGGGCTATTTGGGAGGTGGGGTTGCCTAGTTGTTTAAGCGTTTGCTCATCCCCACATGGGTACAATGCGTGTTGCTCACTTCTGCTGTTCCCCACCATAATATTGCTGGAATATTGCTAAAAAGGTCTTAAAACCTTACTCACTCATCCCATTACACTTTTGAGCACAATGTTAACTGTATGGCCAAAGGACGAGGACATCTAAAAATTATGACTTAGAGGACATTATTTCTATATTTTGAACAGAATGACCTGCCTCGGTTAGAAGCAGGCATGTTTTGAGGACCGTCTAAAAGAGGGAGTATGGTACCCTATATGTTGATCACTGGAAGCTACTGCAGGATAGTTTCCACCTCTGAAGGTGTATTAATAGTTTATTCCTTTTGATAGTGAATGATCAAACATTATATTCATTGTCAAGCATCTGATTCAGCTAAGTGCAATGCAGGGTCGAATCTGGTAATGTATATATATAATAGTATCTGGGTTTTGTGAGCAAGGTACATGATGATTTATTAAATTGTTAGTTCACTGCGTAACTGACATTTCATCTGGCGTTTTTATGTTTTTGTATTCAAGACCTGTGTTCACATGCACAAAGCTAGCTTAGCTTAAGGTGATCGTAACTCCCATGCATCATAGGCTTATTTTCGGCGCTAAGATCACTTTTGTATTCATGCATGACCTGTGTTCACAAAGCGTAGACAGAGCTATCTCGTAGCATTCAAACTTAACGTTACAGTATAGGATCCTAATGCTCACGAGAAAATTTCGAGATCTTAGGTCTCTGAGCTTTGTATAACGGGGCCCTGGGCTTCTTGGATGTTCAAGATTTCATGTTTCTATCTATCTACCTGCTTCTTGGTTGACGGTATCAGCATCTGTGTGTGGAGCTGCATCCTCAATGAATCAAGGCATCCTGTTCAATAAATATCCTGGGGCGATGGGGTAGCCTAGTGCTTCAAGTGTTCGCTCAGACTGCAGGTTCCTTTAATTTTACGATCACTCTCCACAATACCCTGGGCGCATCCACGGCTTGACTCGATAATTATATTACCTCCCTTGGTTGGCTTTTTATCCAATCAGGTGTCTACGCTGGGAAGTTGAGCGAACCAATCACAACTCACTTTCGCTTCTTAAATTATCTAACCGTTTAAACTTGGCAACACAATTGATGCAGAGGCATTCTGAAAGAGGTTGAAGGAGTTCTTTATATATTTTTTGAAAGTTTCAGATCTGTCAATTTGTCTGTATTATTTCCTAAAAAATCTTGAGTGGCACTGCAAACAAACCTTCGCGCCCGCAATCGCTATCTTTGTTGACACTGGCAAGCTCGGATGTAACGGCGGCTTAGCTGATTGGCTACTGTGAGAATGCGGAGCCAGCAAAGGGAGGTAATAAAATCATTGGGCCAAGCCGTGGATGCATCCAGGGTATAGTGGAGAGTGATAGTAACGTATACCCTGGAGATTATCGAGGATGGATGTGTTTTTGGTATTGCCTTATTTTGGTGAATCCAGATTGGCAGCTGTTCATGTTCATGAAAAAAAAGCCGCCACCATATTGCGGGAATATTGCTGAGTGCAGCGTAAAACTAAACCCACTCACTCATGAAAAAAAGACTATTGAAAATAGTTCATGATTTGTTTTGCTAATTTAACATTGTCAGGTGGCAATTAGTTTTTGTAGACTGCATTGTATTTACTGTTAGGGCAAGGCATCAGTTTGTGTAAAACATGTTTAAAAAGGACCTGCACTGTTCTGTCATTGGTACTGATTTGTGAAAAAACTCACAAAAAAACTTGAAACAAACATGACTAACATCAAAGTCACTGAAATAGGTTCATGCAGATTGCCTCATTTCTCAAAGTGATAGCTGAGAACAAGACATTTTTTTAAGAGTTGCGTATCATTTCTAATTGATCACTTAGTGTTTATTTTCAAGTCATTCCCAAGTTGTGTGGAAACAAGCATTTGCGTTGGAACCTGGATGTTTTATTGAGTTTCTAGAGATACTATTTCCCTAACAACCTAGTTGAAGTCTTGCACTGTGTTTAGATTTGTGGGTGTGTGGTCACTTTGCTGTGGAGTGGCATGTGTTTGTACATGTTGTAATATAGGTACACAAGTTTTGCAGGAGGTACTGTGTGATATATAGTAGTTGTGATTGTAATATATGTAACATGTATACCTTGTGTCCAATGAATGAGAATAGATCATCAGCTCATTGGGTTCTTGTTTCACCCATGTGTCCAGCTTTAATGCGGAAAAATATTCACAAGTGTCAAGATGCTGTCCTTCGTGTCTTGGATAAATATCTGTACAAATTTCCATGGGAGTATGGTTTAAAAATAATTAAAGTATAATTATTTTTATATTTACGTCATTTGATTTCAGAATTTTGATAATTAAAGAGAAAATAATGATGAAATTTGTTCACATTCTTGTATTGTGTAATGTGACAGAATCCCCCTCATATTTGGTGTTTTTCATAAAAAAATATTTGGTGAATTTTCATAAAACTTTGCCTGCCTGCCATTTATAAATCCCTGTCAGAAAAAGATGTTTGGATTTGAAGTAATTATTTTGATTTGTTTGGAAACGTTTTGCTTGATCTAATTACTTTTTGGCAAGATATGTTAAAAATATATCATCCATTCATCTCTGGAGATGCTTCTTTACTATGCTTTCTGCATCTTGACATATAGTTATGCTGAGATATTGACACAGTTGACATGTTGACACTGTTGAGAGGTTTTCGTATTGTCAAGTTGACACTTTGTGGTGATGTCATGCTTTCCATATTGTCATGTTGAGATTGACATATTCAGAGGCCCAGATAAGCTGCGTATCCGGGTAAAATACGCATATAAAATTTCCAATTACGCATTGAAAAATAATTGTTGCGTACCAATTACGCATTTAAAATGTTAGATACGCAAAAAGTTTAAAACAAATGCGTACGGAATATATCTATAAAAATCGCTTAGTAAACTTACTCAGTCACATAATACTTAGGTGAGTAAAATGACTGAAATACGCACATATTTGAAAGCAGTGGGTAACGGAAAATGAAATACCCACTCAACATTCATAATACCCACTCCCAAAAATACAGTGGGTACAGTATCCACATGAGCTAAATCTTATCTGGAGCTCTGCATATTGTCTAATTGATATGAAATAGTGATTCAAATATTGACATGTTGACATTGCCGTCTTGAGACAGATTGTCATATTGACATGTTAACATATTGTCATATTTGCATATTGACAACGACATCCTTTAACAAGAAATTAAGAGGGTTTGGTCACTGATGATAATGTAATGTTACTAGTTTTATGTATTCGATGTAGTGTATTATATTATTCTTGTTTCTCAGGGCATATATCATTGCTACTTCAAAGGACTTGATACAATATTTCTATGCTGTTTTGTCAAAGATGTCATGGATATATTGATTTCAAAAGAGTCATGTTTGAAAATCAAACTAATAATAAATACATAGATGTTGCCACAAGTCAAATTGTTCATCTAAACAAATAGCATTTGTAATCACCAGTATTACTATCAAGGGCATGATGTTTCAAATTTAAGAGGAAGGATATTTGTTTGGAGTACCAGCCATAAAATAACACCATGTTACTTTCATGGCCTAGTGGTTAAAGTGTTCGCTTATCACACCAAAGACTGGGTTCGAATTCCCACATGGGTGCAATGTGAAACCCATTTGTGGTGTCCCATGCAATATTGTTGAAATATTACTGAAAGTGACATAAGACCACACTCACTCACTCACTCACTCTTCACTATGACCATCCTGTATCACGTTGGCAGTCAATAAAATTAAAATGATTTCATTCAATCATTTTTTGATAACTTCAAGTTTATTATGATCTTACCGATAATCATTACCCCAATTATCTGGTAGAATTCCACAAGAGATCTCAGTGATAAAAGGATCGTAACTCCCATGCTTTAATACAGGCTTATGGCAGTCATAGCACCAAGAACGCTGTGTGTAAACCTCAAGGCCACTAGGTATGACGTCTTTAGGCCTGGTCATGTGACCCTTCTTGGTATAATCAGAGGAAATATTGTTGGTGACTGTCATTTGTAAATACAATAGTTGAGAGATGTACATTTCATATTTATTTGTGATTATTGTTATTTATGCACGAGCTGAATGTATGTTTAAGCAGACTTCAAGAGTTGCGATGTTTGATCCCTCAGTACTGAGGGGATTCATGTGTTTCAGGCGTAGATGTGAGGCAGCGCAAAGGCTAACATAAACAGAATATACCACTCAAAACAAGTTAAGAACACCAACACTGGAGGGCTGAGTGTTGTGGGATCCACCTGCCAGCATTGATCAAATTTAGTCAAGAAATAATCAGGTGTTCCTTCACTTCAGTTGAGTAGTATACATTTAGCAGAAACCTATTTTTCATTGTTAATGTACGAGAATATGTTTGGTTGTCATGGTAATTTGGTTGAGTCATTGTTGGTCTGGGATTGTGGGTAGTCAGTGGTTGTTGGTCTCGGTTACACAAATGATGATGCCGGATGATCTGGAATATTAGGATAAAACCAAACTCACATCAAGCTGAGGCTTCTTTCTGACATTTGACCCAAACTGTGAATCCAGTAAGTATTGTTGTATGATGAGCATATGTGGTACTTTGCAAGTAACATGCTGGGCTGGGCAATGTCCCATCATTAGGATAATCAGCAGGTCTCATCCTAAAAACAACAACTTGTGATCTGATCAGAATCGGATGGTGTGACTCACATTTCAATTGGTCTGACTCAGCAACCCATACGGTGGTCTGACTCACAACTCACTAATCTTGTGGTCTGGCTCACGATTCGGACGGTGGTCTGATTCACCAACTTGGTTAATGCTTGTCATTGCATTGGGTTGGTTGTGACTAGTCATATTGGCGGAATAGTACTGCAGCATTAAACAACCAACAAACACCAAACAAACAGGGTTCACACGGTTTGAAAAAGCCTGTAATGTGAACGTGTTACACTAAAAATGCCCTAAATTTGTTTTCGCCTTGAAAAGATGCTAATTGCCTGTGATTTGACCCAAAAGGGCCCAAAATTTAACAAAACTTGTCAAGTTATGATTTTACAGAAAACTGCTATATATATATATATATATATATATCCACCTTGCAGTGATAATGTATGTTAATTAATCTCCAGGTTAAACGTTCCCATCACAGCGATGTAGCTATGAGTTATTTCCCTTTGATCGGTCCCACATTCGAACAACCTCATATTTGTTCAACTTCTTATGATTAACATGTGTTTCTACAGGGCCTTAAAATTGTTTATTGGGCCTTGAATAGGCCCTAAAAAGGCCTTATATTTGGTGGCGTATAATTTGTACAAACCCTGATAAAACACCCAGAGCTTATTATCTTCTACCTCCACCATTTGGGCTTCCTTTTCCAGCAACCTGACTGACCAAAAATATAGTCAAGGCCTTGTTCAACAAACTCATACAACTTATTTATGCATCGTTGGTTTGAAGGGGACAGTTATCAGGAAGATCTTTGCTTTAATGAAATGCGTAAATGTGTGATTTTGTATTGTTATAATGGTATTTTGTTGAATTTGGTTACAAGAAAGATATTAAAATATACTTGAGAAAATTCCATCAGGAACACACTGAAAGTTGATATTTCACTGCAAGAATATTTAAATTTTATTCTGTTTTTACACTGTTTAAAGTGCTACTGTGTGCCCAGTTGATGAATGTTGTTTGTTTGTTTGTTTGTCCGATGTGTAGTGATTAAATTAAGGATCACCAAAGTGAGTGTTGATTTAGTCATTGTATTGAATTCATGTTATCGAAAGTTTTGGTTTTGATTTTGATTGAATGTCAAATGCTATTTTCCTGAAGACATATATTCATTAGGTGTGACCTGAGTACTCTGTTGGTTTAGTGCACTGTTCGGAGCACCTGCATTCCAATACTGACTCTGTAGTGGTATAACAAATGGTTTCTGCATGGTTTTACCTTTGTTTTCACAGTAAAAATCATAAAAATTCAGATATTATTTTTGTACATTACTTATTATGCCAACTAAAATATTTTTGTCACTTTGTGCATTCGGAGGTCTCTAAATGAACATGCTGTAAAATAGAATAATGTAAATGATTGTAAATACAGGCAGATCCTCGTGCCATTGAATAAAAACCATCGGAGGAATTTGTAGTTGTGTTATCTTTGTTGATCATGATTCCTAGTATTTTACCCTGATAGTTAGACTAACTTGGACAGGACATGTATTGTTAATGCTAATGCGTTTTTATTTATTTACTGTTATTCTGGGGTTGGCAGGGAAACCCATTTGTTGTAGCCCAGTGGTTTAAGCGCCGCTGTCACGCGGAAGACTGGGGTTCGATTCCACAGATGGTTGCAATGTGTGAAGCCCATTTCTGATGTCCCCGCCCTGATAGTGCTGAAATATTGCTGAAATATTGCTAAAAAACTAAACTGAGTCACTATTGCTTTGCTGCAAGGCGAAGCTGGACGCAGTGAGGAATTTCATCCCTTAAGGGTGCCGGATATGTGTGATCATGGGTTCGTATTTCACCTTCACCCTCATGCTTCGTGGTTGTTCAGCACCAATAGGTATTCGTATTCGTGAAGCTGAAATAGGAACACAATAATGGGATGACTGCCTGCTGCATCCGGGCATTTCAGTCATTAACCCGTCAACATCGACGGAATCGTCACCGTTCTGGTAGGTAGTATACTGGACAAATATAGTTAGGGATATATGAAAATTTTGAAATTATGAATGATGATATATTTATTCATTGACATACTGATAAAATATCAATCATAAAAATACCAGTATCCCTAACTTATTTTGTCCAGTATATATTATATCGACCATCCACGTCAAACATAACCCAGACGTTATTTGGGATTATAATATCACCAGATGTTGTCACCAACCAATACTCCTTCCTAAACAACCATTGTCATAAAGGTCAATAATAGGGAATAGTCTCAGTGACCTTTCCACTATAACCGACATGAAAAATCGATGAAAATAATTGAATGATAAAAAATAACAATGAAAACTATATTGATTAAAGAAAATCATTGATGGCATATATGTTTGCCGAAAGGGTAAGTCTTTGCCTCAAGATGAATATTTTTCCCCGCCGTGAAGTTGCTGGAAGAATTCTTGTCTCAGCAGGCTCAGTTAGAATTCTTGTCTGGCCTTACCAGAGAGTATTACAGCTTGTTCAGCTTGACCTGAGCTACTCTACATATGCATGACTCTGGAGGTTAAATGGCACAAACGGCAGGTCGAGTTAACGTCATTAAATAGGGGAGCAGAGAATGTTATTAATGTTGCGTTCGTGCGAAACATGCATGCATGGATTCATTACAGCCCGAGTCGGAAACAGTAAACCATCTGTAGCTTCTTTTTTAAAGAAAGTTAGGACATTGCTGACGATTTTTCGACACAGAGATGTCAAACGGCGACCTTGTCTCGGCTGTTCGGACATTTTGACAATCAACTGACAAAGGTGCACCCCTTCACAATAATAGACCCAACCAGTTGTGACACGGTCACGCATTGCATTAGTATTCACTATTGGGGAATCAGCTTGGCATACGTAACAATTAATGTACACCGTCAACCCACACAACAACACAAGACCCGAGCGACCGCCTCCGTGGTGTAGTGGCTAGAGCGTCCGCCCGGAGAGCGGAAGGTCGCGGGTTCGATCCCCGACCGCGTCATACCAAAAGACGTTAAAATATGGTACTTGCTGGTCCCCGCCTGGCGCTCGGCATTAATGGGTACAACAAGGACTGGTCGGCTCGGAGTCAGTATAATGTGTCTGAGTGGGGTATTCATGCTTCACTGCGGCATGGTATCTCAGTGGGCTAGCACTATAAAACCAGCTTCCAGTCTGGGCTAGTACAAGCAGCCGCACATACACGGGAGGCCAGCAAGGAGGGTAAAGAGTAAGATCAAAGTATTAAATCGTTAGCTAGCTTATGTTTTGATAATTCCATACGCATTTAGTTCTCACACGAGAAGGAAATTGAAGAGTAAAGTAATTAATAGAGAGATTATTAAAGGGAGAAGGAAATGTATTGCTTTAAAATTGAAGAATAGAGTAATTAATTGAGAGATTATTAAAGGAGAAGGAAATGTATTGCTTTAAAATGCTTGTGATACAAATCTTCATTGCAAATCATGGCAAATCCCAAGAAAGTCGAATACTTCACATCACAGAAAGGAGGACAGCAGGTACCTTTGGAGGGATACCGCTACAGACTCAACAACAGGCGACAGACGTGTGTGTACACTGGAAGTGTGTTCAAGGTGGCTGCTTTGGCAAGTGTGCGACAGTCGGACAGTTTGTTCGGAATCAGACCCACACAACCACCCACAAGAAGACCAGGTAGCCCAGAAGATTGCCAGTTCCCTGAGGCAGCGGGTACACACTGAGACGACGCCAGTTCAGGTGATCTACGATGAGGAGATTTCCCGACTTGACCGAGGTGAAGCAGCAACAGTCAAGTCGTTCCATTCTATGAAGAGTTGACTCTACAAGCAGAGACGGAAGATGATGCCGCCACTTCCCCAGACGCTCAGCGAGGTGAATCTACCCGACTTCTTCAAGGAGACTACAGATGGACTGCCCTTCCTCTGCATTGATGACGGTGATAATGACAAGATTCTCTGCTTCGCCACAGGTGACCGCCTGACCCTCCTGCAAGAAGTGGACACCCTCTACATGGACGGCACCTTCTACTCCTGTCCTCCTCTCTGGGATCAGCTGTACGTCATCCATGGCCTAGTCGGAGGGAAGATGACCCAGTTGGTCTTCTGTCTACTGCCGAATCGTCAACGCCGCACCTA